ACTGTGATGCTTGTAATTGTTGTAAATAAAATAGTATACTAACCTCGGTAGGAAGTTTCAGTCTTGTACCAGTTTCACTGTTCAGAGATTAGGGACTTGATAACAGATGTAATCATAGTAAGTCGCAATCCATGAATCCTAAATATTTTTTGTTTTCGTATAATTGAAAGTCTTTTATATACAGTTGCCTCAAATTTATTAACTTCGCTTCCTCAAATATAATATTTGTAGAGCAAAGTTTGCTTTTAAATAACATAATCTCTATTATGTATCTCTGTGTTATACAAATAAAGATTTAAGTACACTATTACAAGAAGCACCCCAAGCTGTGATGCCATATGTTAAGATCGATTCTACAAAAGCTTGGTAGAACATTTTAATAATGTTTAAAGGTAAAATCTGTCTTATTTCGTAGAATGGGCTCTTTCACTAATTTTTGAAATTGGCATATTTGGATAAAGCAACTAAAAACAGAATTTTCTGTATTTTTACTTTTGAAAAATTCATAGTCCTTCTTGAGAAAACAGAAAAATAAGAAATACCTCCAAATAAAAACCCAGAATTTATTTCTATGACGTCGCAGCTCACAATTTGACCGTGTTGCCACCAATTGTCAACATTGAAAATTTGTAATAGATTTAATTCTGAAATGTTGGAAAAATATCATGAAAAGTAGTTCAATTAATTAGTTATGGATTCAAGATTTTATAATTTTTTTTTTGAAATTATGCTTAAATACAATTTAATACAATTTTTTATGTTTAGTTTTATTTATTTTTTTTACGTTACACTACATTCAGTCACAACCGACAACAGCGCATTCGAACCTCTACGTATACTTGCTGTGCTTTTACAGAGCGCTACAAAGCCGAGCCGGTCAGTTCCTTGCAACAACATAAGCGAAATGGAAAATATTTATGTGACGTCAGCGATTCGGCGCGATTAAAATTAGTTTGAATTTGGCCATTTTCGAATGCCTGTAAAAAACTTATTTAACCTTGTAGAACTTTTTTTTTTTGGTATATATGCCTAAAATAGTCCCTCCTTTGGGATTTTATACTTAAATTTCGTATTTAAATTTTAGTGAAAGAGCCCATTTATAAAGTAATTTCCTAATTTTGTGTCTATACAGGGTGTCACGAAAGGTTTGTTACAAACTTCTAGGGATAGTAGATCTCGTAAAAATAAAACTTTTTTCTTAATAAACATGTGTCCGGAAATGCTTCGTTTTCCAGATATACCAGGGTGGCCCAAATTTGAGACTCATCATTGGGATCTCGGTAACCGTAAGAGATACGGACGGGGTCGGTTAAATTATGGCAAAGTTGCGCAATTTTATGACCAATAGAATACCGTTTTGAAACTAGAAAGATTCCGAATACTTCCGGAGATATTCGGAAAAAACCAAAATTTTGTAAAATCGTTTTTATTTTTTCCCGGGCTTATTTGAAAATAAATGTCACTTCATCATTGTCACTTTTTCTCCTTTAGAAGATGGTGCTACTAAATTTAAAATTCGACGTTGCGTCTTCAGGCGGCCATCCTCAACTTCCTTTTTTTAAATACGGACCTGGATTTTTTATTTGCGATTTTGTCATCTTTGCGCATCCTAAAACCGATACTGTTTATAATTTTTCAATAACACAGCAAAAAAAGCAGGTCCGCATTTAAAAAAAAAAAAATAATGATGATTTCAGAGGAACGAAACATTGTATTTTAAATTTAATACCGCCTTCTTGTAGAGAAGAAAAAGTGACAATGGCAAGGTGAAATTAGTTTCCCACAATCTTTTTAAATAAAATCAGGAAAAAATGAAAACTATACGGAAAAAAAAAAATCTCGTTTTTCTTAAATTTTTTCCTGATTTCATTTAAAAAGATTTTGAAAAACTAATTTCACATTCCCATTGTCACTTTCTCTTCTTTTCAAGATGGAAGTATAAAATTTGAAATCCGACGTTTTTCAATATTGGACCTGCTTTTTTACCGTGTTATTGAAAAATTATAAACAGTATCGGTTTTAGGATGCCCAAAGATGACAAAATCGCAAATAAAAAATCTAGGTTCGTATTTAAAAAACGTAAGTTAGGGATGGCCGCCTGAAGACGAAACGTCGAATTTCAAATTTAGTCTTCTAGAGGGGAAGAAGTGACAATGATGAAGTGACATTTATTTTAAAATTGCTTTTCAAATAAGCCCGGGAAAAAAAAAACGATTTTTCAAAATTTTGGTTTTTTCCGAATATCTCTGGAAGTATTCGGAATCTTTCTAGTTTCAAAACGGTATTCTATTGTTCATAAAATTGCGCAACTTTGCCATAATTTAACCGACCCCGTATCTCTTACGGTTACCGAGATCCCAATGATGAGGCTCAAATTTGGGCCACCCTGTATATCTGCATTTCCGGACACATGTTTATCAAGAAAAAAGTTTTATTTTTACGAGATCTACCATCCCTAGAAGTTTGTAACAAACCTTTCGTGACACCCTGTATATTCAGCGTGATGTTTCCAAGTCATGAATTGATCAAAAGTAACCCCCAGATATTTTATATGATCTTTTCTCTTTACCTGTACGCAATTACATTTCGAATTTCTGGTGCAATCAAAGTCATGAAGTTTTATGGTTCCTTTCTGAGATAAGCCTCAGTCATAGCAAAATTTAGGAAAAATGTTTTATCAGCATTTAGCGTCAACAAATTAGAGTCAAGCCAAGCCAGTGTTTAATGTGTCATGTGTCATGGCTAATTCACATCTGTCGTAGGCACCTTGCCAAGTTCTGTCTCTAATTTACAGGGCAGTATCATCAGCAAAGCAGATGACCCTATTCTCCTTAGTGGATTTTGTTAAGTAGTTAACGTAAATTAAAAAAAGTATCGGACCTAGCACAGTACCCTGTGGGACACCACACTCCATTGGCAATTTGCCGCTCAAGCTTTCTTGAACCTTCACCATCTCAGTACGGTTGGTGAGATATGATTTAAAAAGTGGTAGAACTTTCCCTCTTACACCAAGTTGTTCCAAATCGCTGAGTAGAGTGCGGTGTTCCAGAGTGCCGAATGCCTTCGACACATCCAGTAAAACTGCAAGTGGCTTATATCCCTTATTAAAACTAGTAACTACAAATTCAGTGACCTCGTTAATGGCATCTTCTGTATTGCATCCTTCTCGGAACCCAAACTGATTTTGTGATGAAAGATTTTCAGCTGTCAAGAAGTTACAAAGCTTTAATTTGATGCATTTCTCAAGCAGCTTACTGAGCGTACTTGTAAGTGCTACAGGCCTATAGTTGTTTTTTTCGTTCTTGCTTTTTGACTTATGTAAGTATAGGTATTATGACTGGGTTTTTGAATATAGTGGGGAATACACCTTCGGAAAAAATGTTATTAATTAAATGCTTGATTGGGTTAATTGAATAAAGATGATTTGATTTTACAATATTTACAGTAATTCCATCTTCCCCTCCCGCCGCGCTGTTTTTTAATTTAGATATTTGAGTAAAATACCTTAATTTTACTTGACAATTTTTTTCCCACGCTATTAAAAAACCTATTAAAGTCTTCAGCTATTGACACATTATCACAAATCTCTCTACCATCATCGTCATTTATCGTTTTTATTGCATTTTTTTGGTGAACTTTGGAGTTTTTGTCAATTGAATTTCTATAATATAAGATTTTAGCTTTATCAATAGATTTATTTACCAAATTTTTATATCTTTTTAACTCATTGAGCAACTCAACATTGTGCGGATGACAAGATGCTTTTTTTTATATAAAGAATAAGTAAAATTTTAATCGCCATTCTACAAAAGTGGGGGTTTTCAAGGTCATCTAAGGTCAAATTAACCTTAAGAGTATTATTTTTATTATTTGCATTCACCATCGGTATTAATATCTCTCCAGTATATTTGGAAACAAAAAATTATTATACTAAAATACTGAAAATGGACGTCATTTTACAAAAATTACGATTTTCAAGGTCATGCAAAGGTCACAGCGGTCTAAAACTATTTTTTCATTATTCTGCATCCTCGAAATATATAGACTAGAGTATAATCTTAGTATAATCATGGTTGTCTAACCAGAATAAAAACTGGAATTAAAAAATTGGTCGCCATTTTCAAAAAATGGCGGTTTTTCTAGTACCAATGAGAAAAGTCGATGGGTCCTCGACTCAAATCGATTTAAATGGTCTAATTAGCAACTGTGCCAAATTTCATGCTTGTATCATCAAATGGCGTTTTCTCTTGAAAATATCGCTTAAGCCACCAGACTAATATGTTCAAATATGAAATTCATAATTTCTTCATCTACCCTGGGGGAAAATTATTTTAGATGCGGGATAATTTAATTTATTGTCAAAATTCCCAGGAATTTAAGTATGGCTTTTTATGCATATTTTAACGATTTTCAAAAATCGAAGCTATTTTTACCTGACAGTCCTTAAGAGCATTTATTTTTTCATTAATTTGGGTCAAAAAACGTCTTAAAGTCAACTTTGAAACAAGGCGGATCCTCTTAACCAGTTGAACCTATATGTATATTCCAGTATAGATTTAACCAGTCCTATATAAATACCTATTTGTCCTTTTTTTTTTTTGTTTATTGACTAAAACCCACATTATTATGTCACCAGTTAGTTAGCTACTGAATACTAGTAGACTTTTGATTTTGGTGAAAATAATTCAAATTCCATTAGTCAAAAACTCGGTCAAAAAAATATTATTTAAACATTCCACTAGGTAAAAATAGGTTGACATTGGCAAAACTTGTATTATAATGAAGTTGATCCATTGCTTCTTTGGATGAAAATGGATAATATGTGTGCCTTTCCATCCACCTCTGATAGCAGATACTTTCCAATACCCCATGATTTAATAGGTAAATTGCTTGGTAAATTGTGTAGGGTGTGTACAATTTCCTCAAATTTTAATCATTTTATTAAATTAAGTAAGTGGAACTTTTTTCTGTTATTTTATTAGGGTTCATTTCTTTTGCAGGCAAGCGAAGAAGCAATTGGAAAACTGAGAAACTCCTCTTCACTACAAACCAATGTTTACTATCTTGTTAATCAAATAATATACCCAATATCCCAAGGTTGTGAAACCAAAGATGTAAAAATTATAAAGGTAAGTTAAACTAATTTTCATTATCACTGATGTAGTCCTTTTATGCCCATGTATCTAATAATACCTTGATGTTTTTTGTTGGGCAATATTTATTTCGTAGAAAAATTATTTGCCATAAATTTTTTTTTCGTTTATCCCTAAAGTATGCACGTATTTAATGTATCACTAAGTAATTAAATATTATTTAATGCTATAAAAATTGGATGTTGAGAACAATAATTATCATTGTTTGCAAAATTTGCTTTTTATGTTAAGTATTTGAATTTTTAATTGTTTTTTATTTTATAAGGTATGTCTACAAGTGATGCAAAAGCTAATAACAAATCAATTAATTGACCAAAAAGGAGCAGTCTATGTCACTGACGCTCTGTGGTCTCTCATGGAATCTGGAATTGAAGAAGTAAGAATTTTACAGTCAGTTCTACTACTTCTCACAACAAATACTGTTGTTCATGGAGAAACTTTAGCTAGGGTATTATATACATACCTATATATTTATAAGTATTAAGTCAAAATTTTTAGACACTAGTATTATGTTTCCGACTACATTTTGCCAAAAATTCAACTACAATCAACACAGCTGGCGCCACAGTACGGCAGCTGGTATATCTAGTGTTTGAAAGAGTAGTTGCAGAAGATGAACAATTAGCAAAACTTCCAAATAGGCCGGAAAAGCCTCCACTAAATTTAGAAGAACTTAAAACTCCAAGTGGTACACCACCAAAAGGACTACCACCTTGTGCTGGTGATGCATACCTCCTTTTTCAAGATTTAGTGCAGCTAGTGAATGCTGATCAACCCTATTGGCTTATCGGCATGACTGAAATGACAAGGACTTTCGGCTTAGCTTTGTTAGAGTCTGTATTGACACAGTTTTATGCCGTTTTTTATAAGGTAAGTTTATCATAGCGTGTTTTTTTGTTGTGTTTGATTGGTTATTTACAGTTTCCTGAATTTAGCTTTCTTTTAAAAGAAAGAGTTTGTGCATTAGTGATAAAACTATTTTCCCCAAACATAAAATACAGAAGCAATGTTCCCAGCAATGTACAACAAGCAACTTCTTTTGAAAAGCCATATTTTCCTATAAGCATGAGACTTTTACGAGTTGTTTCTATTTTAATACAAAAATATCATAGTCTTTTGGTAAGTTTATTATTTATTTTGAAACTTATTCTAACTTAACTAGCAATCAACTTGTTTTTAGGTAACCGAATGTGAAATATTTCTTTCCCTCATTGTAAAATTCTTAGACCCAGACAAACCCACATGGCAAAGGTCTTTAGCTTTAGAAGTTTTACATAAAATGACAATACAGCCAGATTTGTTAGTGTCGTTTTGTAAATGCTACGATCTCCGTAAACATACCACCAGTATTTTTCAAGACATTGTTAATTCATTAGGAGCGTATGTACAGTCTTTGTTTGTGAGCCAGCAATTACATATGGGGGCATCATGTAAGTTTATTTTTTAATGTAGTTACTCTTTTTGATTTATGTTTTTTTAACACTAGAAAAAAATACTATTGCTCATTGATATAGGTACCTAAAAGTTTTTCTTTATTAGATAGGCGTAAAAACAGTTACTGAAAACTTAATGTGTCTTGGCTACCTCGTCTCTTTTAGTGTGTAAGAAATATTGCAATGGAGAATGAGAGTGGGGACACATAAGCCTATTCAGAATAAAAATTATATAGGTGCATAATTTTCATGGAAGGTAAATCCAACCAAATTATCAGTTGTAGTTTGTGATCTTTTTTCCACACATACAATACTAAATACATATAAGAAACTCGATAAGAAATAACAGTTCATACAATAAAAGCTTTTACATTAGCGAGCACATAAGTAGGTACTGTTTTTTTTGGGATAAGTCATATGAAAAATTATATGTAGATATTTTTAATTGAAAAAAAATTCATGAGAGATAAGGTAAAAAAAATTAAAAATTTGCCCCTGCCAAGTCTAATTTCAAAAAGGAAAATGTTTATGATTCACTTTTCCTAATTCTTCCTTTGTCCTTTAGATTTAGTGTATTAAAACCTATTTCTTGTTTCCAGTTCTTATCTTATTTTTTGTTTTAATTTCCAGTACCTGTCACACAAGCACAACCACCAGCTTTTCTTGGAGGATTACCTGCAGGCCCAGGTATTTCTCCACAACCTGGTTTTCTCCTAAGAGGTGTTTGGTTGCCTTTAGCTGCAACATTCGCTACAGGCCAAGCAAAAGCTACTTAGTAAGTCTATAACTTTCTTCTTTAACATTTCAATTATTTTTATTATTTTTTTTTTTAGTTTTGAAATGTTTGATAAAGTAGAACCCCCAGTCGTCCCAGACGGATATGGTATTTCTGTTGCTTATGCTTGCCTAATGGAAATTATTCGTTCTCTTCAGATTGCTATTAACCCTCAAAAACCACCAGATTCAGAAGAACTTCCTAGGAAAGAAAATAGTAAAGAACTGAATTGTCAGTTAATTAATTCAAGTTGGTGTGGACTTCTCGCAGCACTGAGCCCACTAATTGATGCTAGTACTGATGAATCTATAACTGAAACACTCTTGAAAGCAATGCAGACTTATACATCCCTGTGTGGTCTTTTGGACCTTCATACACCAAGAGATGCTTTTATAACAGCCATATGCAAATCCTCTTTACCTCCACACTATGCTCTCACTGTTTTGAATACTGTCACTTCAGGGGTAAGCCTCAGGCAAGGCCAAGTGGGAGAAGTTCAAAATATGCTATTACAATATGGTGAAAATGAATTTCGACAACAGGTCGTTGCTGTCGGAACTCCATTACCCACATCATCTGTACCCGCTGGAACTCAACAAGGGCCTGTTATGTTAACTTCAAAAAATCTCCAATCAATGAGGGCTTTATTGAGTTTGGCTCATTGCCATGGAAGTATTTTAGGCACTTCTTGGCATTTGGTTTTGACTACCTTACAGCATTTGGTTTGGATACTTGGTAAGAATTACCATTTCATGTTTAAAATATATGAGATCATTTCAGAAAAATCTTGCAATAAAATTTCATGCAATAAAATTTCATTTTATTTATTGTTTAAAACTCATGTAGACTCGAGTGTGGACTTCATCCAAAAATAAATCCGTTGCATATCATGAAGACCTCAGGTTAGTAAATTACGTACCACTCAAACAAAAATATAATAGCTTATTGATATTAACCCTATTTTCTTATCGTTCCTGTCAAAAAAATTTGCCTGAAATTACAGTGTTGACAAGCTTCTTTAACGTTTCTGATTAATCGATATTCAATTGGTTTTTGGTCACAAACTGTTACCTCTTCCCCTATATTATTGTATTTTTAGCCCGACTGAGTTGTTGTTTAAAAATATGAACATTTTCATGACAACTTGGCAACGGGGTCAATTTTCTGGCGACGTGCAACGGATTTAGTTTTGGATCAAGTATCTTTACTAAATCAAAAGACAAAAACCCTCCCAAAAACCTTACAGAAATAGAACCAATGGTATGTTGATCAAATTTTCAAATAAAGCGTTACAAAGCTACTAAAAACATACAAGTAGGTACCTAGTACCTTAAGAGCCAAATTTCAGAATTTTAAAAGTAAATGTTAAATATCTTCGAAAATATAACCCAAATTTCTAAATAATTTTGGTGATTCCTGGATGGAATTTTTTGAAACAAACTTGTTCTTCGAATGCAATATACATAGTCCGGGGGCCGAGGACCTTTTTTCCAAATCATTAATAACAAGCTAGTTTTTTCAATGCAGCTTCATTTCACCGAGACGCCCAACTTTTTTCTCTTCGAAAATTGCGAAAACAGGTAGCTAACATACTGCGCAGGTGTAAAACATGTCGATTTGGTGACTATGAAAATTTAATTAATTACAGTTAGTTTTTCAGCTAAATGTTGAGATAATTTTATGAATAATTTGAAACAACATTTGTCCGACAAAATAAAGGGTTTGGTCTACGATGTTCCCCCCCTCAAACATGTAGCAATTACGTTGCATAAAAAATAATTAATAACAAGTTGATTTTTTCAATGTAGGTTGGTAAATATTATTACAATTAAATGGTCACACTGTCCTACAAATAAACAGGTAGCTATTTTCAGTCCTACACTCGAAAGTTGTCGATTTCACGATTTAACTTTTTTCATTAATAACCGGCTAAATCTTCGTGAGTATCTTCATTTTGATAAGACGCCCAAACTTTCTGTTGCGAAAATTCCAAAAACAGGTAGCTAACAGAGTGCGCAGGTGGAAAACATGTCTATTTGGTGATCATACAAATGTAAATAATAACAGTTAATTTTGTAGCTGAATGTTGAGATAGTTTCCTAAATAATATGAAACAACATTTGTCCGACAAAATAAATGGTTTGATCTAGGCTGTCTCCCTTCTCAAACATGTAGCAGATACGTTACATAAAAAATGATTTATAACCAGTTGATTTTTTTAATGTAGCTTAGCAAATATTACTACAATTAAATGGTTACAGTGTCCTACAAATAAAGAGGTACATTTCTCCAGTCCTACACTCAAAAGTTGTCGACTTCACGGAAATACTTTATTCATTAATCTCCGTAAATCTTCTCGAGCATCTTCGTATTGATAATACGCCTAACTTTTCTATTGCGAAAAGTTGCAAAAGTAGTAGCTACTAGAGTGAGCATTAGTGAGCACATGTAAAATACCTTGATTAGGTGATTATGCAAATGTAATTATTAACAGTTAACAGTTAATTTTTCAGGTGAATAATGAGATAATTTTATAAATAATTCGAAATTCGATTTGAGCCACAAAATAAATCGTTTGGTCTGCAGTGTCCCCTTTCTCAAAAATGTAGCAATTACTGGCTCATAAAAAACGATTTATAACCAGTTGATTTTTTTGTAGTTTGGTAAATATAACTACAATTGAATGGTCACATTGTCCTAAAGAGGTAAGATTTCTCAGCCCTACATTCGAGAATTTCGAAAATAGCCTTATGCATATTATACGTAAATATGTACAGGGCTTTCATTTCAAAACTTGCCACTCACGTTATCTGCGTAAATAGACAGATTCCTAGAAATCGCCGAAACATGTCAACAAATTTATTGAGGGGGTGCGTTAATTTGTTGATGTGTTCCGGCGATTTCCAGAAATCTGTCTCTTTAGGCAGATAAAGTGGGTGGCAAATTTCGAAATGAAAGCGCCTGTATGTACATATGTACGTATACAGATGCGTGTAAAACAGTATATGTGTTATGTGTATGTACACATACCTACATTTATGTCGATGGTTTCCATTCGCATCGACGCGCATGCTCGTAAATATCACAGTATCGTAGTATAGGGTGATTCAAAAAGCTCGCCAGATTTGAATTGCTCGAAAAAGAGTTTTGGCATGCCATCAAAGTAGAGGGGGGCATGCCCTTTGTCATTTTCCATACCCAGATGGAGAAGGTTTGATCCAACCGGTTCATCTTAATTCTAAAGATATTTAAAAAAAATAGAGCTCCTTTTTTAATGTATTAAATCTGGCGCGCTTTTTTGCTGTATATAGGGTGAATACAGGGTGTTTTCTAAGTTAGAGTTTTTCTTTTTAAATAACGTGGGACTTAAAAAAATCCAGGAGTTTTCCAAATAATATTTTCTCGACAGCTCAAAAATAAAAGAGATAGGTATGTTCATTTCAAATAATATCAAAAATCAAATATTTTAATAATTATATTTTTCAAAATACAAAAGGTGAAATTCTTGAATTTAATCTTTTTTCCAGAAATCTGTCTCTTTACGCAGATAACGTGGGTGGTAAGTTTTGAAATGAAAGCACTGTACATATTTACGTATAATATACATAAGGCTATTTTCGAAATTCTCGAATGTAGGGCTGAGAAATCTTACCTCTTTAGAACAATGTGACCATTCAATTGTAGTTATATTTATCAAACTACAGTAAAAAAATCAACTGGTTATAAATCGTTTTTTATGAGCCAGTATTTGTTACATTTTTGAGAAAGGGGACACTGAAGACCAAACCATTTATTTTGTGGCTCAAATCAAATTTCGAATTATTTATAAAATTATCTCATTATTCACCTGAAAAATTAACTGTTAACTGTTAATAATTACATTTGCATAATCACCTAATCAAGGTATTTTACATGTGCTCACTAATGGTCACTCTAGTAACTACTACTTTTGCAACTTTTCGCAATAGAAAAGTTAGGCGTATTATCAATACGAAGATGCTCGAGAAGATTGAGCCGGTGATTGATGAATAAAGTATTACCGTGAAGTCGACAACTTTTGAGTGTAGGACTGGAGAAATGTACCTCTTTATTTGTAGGACAGTGTAACCATTTAATTGTAGTAATATTTACTAAGCTACATTAAAAAAATCAACTGGTTATAAACAATGAACTATAACCAAAAACTGGAATGCTAACACATAAGGAAGAACGTGAAGCCTAGTGCAGCTGCTGCGGAAGGGATTCCTGTTTTTGTTGCACTCATTATGTTAAATGGCGAAAATTGCTTCCAACACGTAATCCAATTGATGAAACCTGTGAAGGAAAATATGACAAAACTTTCGAAAACGTCATATGTCAGCGAGCAACAGAAAAAAACAACATTCCCCTTTGTGGCATCTGTCTTTCATGGCTTCATTTTTTGGGCAGATATAGCAATGTGCGCGCATTCTAGTTTTTGGCTATAGTTTATTGGTTATAAATCATTTTTTATCTAGAAGCGTTGGGTTATGACGTTTTTACATAACTATTTTTCTAGTATTTGAGTTGTGTCATGAGACTCATAACACAACTAGTGGTGTTATAGACTAGGTTATGAATTCATAACACAACTAGTGGTGTTATGGACGAGGTTATGAATCTATAACACAACTATTTTCGGTGATTTGACAAATGTCAAAGGTAAACTTGTAAAGGTAAAATGGAGGTAGACAACTACTAATAAACGAAAATAATTGAAAAAACACTCTTATTTTTCGCTTTGTAGATAAAACGTTGTACATCACATGTGCGTTTAAACATGACTACAAAACTCGTGTGATTAGAACGACTCGGTCTACGACCTCGTCGTTCTAATCTTTCACACTCGTTATTGTAATCATGTTCATAAACGCACTTGTTGTGTAAATAACTATTATGTAACGTATCTGCTATAAGTTTGAGAAGGGAGACAGCCTAGATCAAACCATTTATTTTGTCGGACAAATGTTGTTTCATATTATTTATGAAACTATCTCAACATTCAGCTACAAAATTAACTGTTATTATTTACATTTGTATGATCACTAAATAGACATGTTTTCCACCTGCGCACTCTGTTAGCTACCTGTTTTTGGAATTTTCGCAACAGTGTATGATGTAGTGTAGGACTGAAAATAGTTACCTGTTTATTTGTAGGACAGTGTGACCATTTAATTGTAATAATATTTACCAACCTACATTGAAAAAATCAACTTGTTATTAATCATTTTTTATGCAACGTAATTGCTACATGTTTGAGGGGGGACATCGTAGACCAAACCCTTTATTTTGTCGGACAAATGTTGTTTCAAATTATTCATAAAATTATCTCAACATTTAGCTGAAAAACTAACTGTTATTAATTAAATTTTCATAGTCACCAAATCGACATGTTTTACACCTGCGCAGTATGTTAGCTACCTGTTTTCGCAATTTTCGAAGAGAAAAAAGTTGGGCGTCTCGGTGAAATGAAGCTGCATTGAAAAAACTAGCTTGTTATTAATGATTTGGAAAAAAGGTCCTCGGCCCCCGGACTAACATATTCAATTCTTTACCTAGGACTTAAACCATCTACTGGCGGAAGTTTAAAAGCAGGCCGTACTTCATCAGACACAAATGCAGGAATTACTACATCTGTCATGGCAGATCTACCAGTACTTTCTACCATGTTAAGTAGGCTGTTCGAATCTAGCCAATTTTTGGATGATGTGGCTTTACATCACTTGATTAATGCTTTGTGTAAATTGTCACAAGAAGCAATGGAACTTGCCTATTCCAACAGAGAGCCATCTCTTTTTGCTGTAGCTAAGCTACTAGAAACAGGTGAGCATTCCATATAAAAATTAAATGTTTCATTAATAAAGTGATATATTATTCTAATTAGGCCTTGTTAATATGTCTCGGATTGAAGTTCTCTGGAGACCATTAACCAATCACCTCTTGGAAGTATGTCATCACCCACACATAAGGATGCGAGAATGGGGCGTGGAAGCTATAACGTATTTAGTCAAATCGGCGCTGATGTTCAAACATGCCGTGCCTCTTAAGGAAAATCAAAAATTGCAAACTTTGTTGTTGGGACCTTTATATGAGCTTTCTTTGGTACCACACGGCGATGTGCGGCAAAGACAATTAGAGTGTGTTCTGCAGATTTTACATAGCAATGGTGACACTTTGACACACGGCTGGCCTTTGATTCTTGGGATTACAGGAGCTGTTAATGACCAACATGGGTAAGATCTTATTATGAGATTTTGGAATGGTTATGGTTAGCTTTTGATATATACCTACCCCAGGACTTATTTTGAATATTCTCCATGCTTTTATAGCAAAACAAAGGTAGTAATGTGGAGTAAAACGATCGTTGAAAAAGAGAATGACTTTCACACGGGCGTTCGTCTTCCTGATCACTATGTGATAGCACTCCTAAAAACCTGTCTAAATCAGGGCTTTTGTGATAGCAAAGGTGGGGTTATAATATACAGTTGAAAATTGATTTTTTTGCAACTTTGACAGGCTGTAAAACCTGAACGGTTAATTTTAGAGGAAAACCGATTTCACATTCCTTTCTTAGATTGTCATAAACTATCATTTGACACCAACTTTGAATTTACCCGGAGATTAAATTTAACCGGAACTTTTAATTAAATTTTTTTTAATTTAATTAACTTCAAAATTGGTGTCAAATGATAGTTTATGAAAATCTAAGACAGGAATGTGAAATCGGTTTTCCTCTAAAATTAACCGTTCAGGTTTTACAGCCTGTCAAAGTTGCTAAAAAATCAATTTTCAACTGTCAATATTTCCGAAACAGTTGAAGACATTGACATTGTACATGAAATATGTTAAAAATTTCCCGCCGAATCCATAAATGTCATAATATACAGGTTGATCCATTTGAAAAAACAAAGATGATAGCAGCGGAGTTATTTTTGAGACACCCTGTATAATGAAAAATATATTAAAAAATTTCAAACAAAAAAACAAAATTGACGTGTCTGAGCGATTTTTCAAAAATTCTACCGTTTTCAAAATAATGAATTTATCCGTTACTTTACGGACACAGTGTATATCGAACAGATGGCTGCGGCAATACCGCTGAGAAATCAAGAGGTGTGTTAACTGTATCTCAGTTAAAGTCTAAGTAAGACTGAACTTGTGCAGTGATCTCATTGAAAAAACTTTTTTAGAGGTGGAAGTAGATAAGATCATTTGTGATAAGGATGGTTTACTCCAAATTCGGTTCACGGAATAAGTATATCAGCAACACTCGATAGTAGTTATTGGATGCAAGGAAGTGATATCCAGAGTCATTTTTTGTCGAGTATTTTTGATATCTGGAGATTTCAACCGTTCAGATTTTGAGTGGTTGATTGAGAGTAATAGTATATCGGTTAACTGTCAAATAATCTCGGGCTCCAATTTCTCAAAGGCCACCCATTGTTAGCTTTCCGCTTCTGCCCTATTATTTGGTTATTATCATTTTATAATATATTAAAATTAACCTAATGAATAAATGTTGTTGCTAATTCATGTATTTTTTTTAGGGAAAATCTGATAAGGGTAGCATTTCAATGTCTCCAACTGGTAGTCACTGATTTTTTGCCTGACATGCCATATAAATGTTTGTCACAATGCATAGATATAATTGCGAAATTTGGTTCTCAAACCCCAGAGTTGAACATCTCCCTTACTTCTGTAGGACTAATGGTAAGATAAGTTCAATTTATAAGTGCGGACTTTTCATATAAGTAGGTAGGTCTAACTTGATAATGTTGGTTCTGAAAAACAAAATCTAATGGACCCATCGCATCGAGATGGAATTTTTCAATAATAAGAATAAAAAATAGATTATTATAAGTATATACATGTATGTATATAAAAATTTTCACGTTCTTCTAAAGTAGTCAACTAAGTAGTTGGTTATTATTCAACTTAAGATTTTTTTAAAAAGTAAAGTTGATAACCACCCCTGTGCGCTGTGCGTTGGTTTTCAGCATCTCAGTATCTGTGAAGAATCTACTTTCACTTAGGACTCGTTTATTGATCTTCAGATAAGTAAACTTACTGGTAACTATCTAAAAGACAAAAAATTTAACAATCTCTATTCCTATTGGCCGATCAATGGGATTATAGATTGGTAAAGGACCTCGCACACCTTTTATGGGATTTCGGCGACCGGTCGATTTTTTTCAAATTTTGGTATGTTATAGTCATAGAGCTTATCAAAATAAGTATTTTTTTTCATTGCGCCAATATACAAGGTGTGTGAGGTCCTTTATTTTGTATACAGTTATCAGGAAGTTTATCCGAAAATGAATAAACCGGGCCTTAGTATCTTATATAACCACAAAAGTGATTTTTTTTTTTTAATTTTTAGTGGAATATATCAGATTACTTCCATCAAAATCAAGCAAAATTAAGTCAAACATTAACCGACGAGGCAACAGTTCTACCTGATTTTCCTGGTAGCGTGGAAATGCCCAACTTCGATAAACTTTGGATGTGTCTATATGCCAGGTTGGGTGAACTTTGTGTTGATAGTCGCCCCGCTGTTAGAAAATCAGCTGGTCAAACATTATTTTCAACAATTGCGGCTCACGGAGGATTATTGAAACAATCTACTTGGCAGATAATGATTTGGCAAGTTCTATTTCCTCTCTTAGAAAAAGTAAAGAGATTGTCTAATTCTGCTAGCACTGAAAAAGTCGACGCAGGTGGTAATATTTTAATACATCATTCCAGAAATACCGCACAAAAACAATGCGCTGAAACTCAAGTGTTGACACTCTCTGGAGTGGCAAGAGTATTTAATACAAAAAGGCAGCTTTTGCAAGCTTTAGGTGATTTTACTAGGGCTTGGTCCATACTATTAGAATTTATTGAAACTGCTGCATTAAGCAAAAACAATGAAGTTAGTATAGCTGCTTTAAAATCATTTCAAGAAATTTTGTTTTGTAAAAATCAAAACAGTGATAATAAAGTTCCAGAAGAGAAGGAAATTTGGACTGTCGCATGGAAAGTATGGCTTAAAATTGGCACTGAAGCTACATCATCAGTGAAAGGCAGTGAACATCATAATAGTGATGACTGTTTTTTGCCAAGCCAAACGTTTTTAACTGCTTTAGTGCAAATATTCCCGAGTGTATTTTCACACATTAAAAACGGATTTACTTCGGACGATCTCAGTCAACTTGGAGTAGTTTTGACAAATTCAGTTTGTGTTCCAGTATTTGGGGAAACATCCCCTTACATAATCTCTGTATCGTCCGATTTGAGTTTGACTCCTCTTCATGATGGAGTACTTCATGCCATGGAGCTATTACAAAAAGAGGCTTTACAAAGGAATAACAACAAAATGATTCCTGAAATATTCAGACTATTACTAATATTTTCGAAATTCACCAGCTCAGTTCCTAGCTATACAAAAATGGAAAATAAACATACAAAAGTATCAGACTGGGTAACAATGAATTATGTACCTTTTGGTGAAAAAGCTACAAATATGGTGGTCAATTTATATGAAAAAACAGCAGACTGTAATGAAGTTATCAATGGAAATGTATTGAAGGAAATTATAGCTACTCTTCATACGCCTTTGGCTTTAAAATACAACTGTGTATCTGGTAGTGTGTGGAAATTAGCAGCTGGAAGTTTGATTACGATACTAAAAGTTGGATTAAAAGTAGCAAGGTCTCATGGAAATCAATTTTTGAACATGTGGAGTGAATTAGCTGAGACACTTAATGATTTCTTATTTCCTAGCAAGTAAGTAACAATTATTTTATTAAAAATTTGAATTGCAGTTTTTTACCAGTAGGGGTGCAGGTAAAAATTCTAGGGACGAATTAATTCATGTATTGTTTTACTCATACTTGTCTTTTTATCAATAATTGCTCTCTTGGTATAGCACAATTTATTAACGAGAATGATTTTGTCACTTGCACAAATATTGATACATATAGAGCTCAAGTTTCAAATAAAAATATTTTTAGTTGTTCTCCGAGTCCAGGAGAAAAGGGGCTAGAAGAAATGGTTTCAGATGAACAAACCGATTGCCAAATTATAGAACTTTTAAGAACCGAAGTCCTTCCATATTCACACAGCATACCAAAGGAATTTATAATGCAAGTTGTAATTTTACTGAATAAAGGCTCTATTCATTCAGCGACAAACGTCAAAATCGATGGAGATGCAGAGCTTACTCTCAGAGAAGATTTTGCCAAAACGTGTTTCGAAACTTTGCTTCAGTTTTCGCTTATAGATGGTGACTACAATACTTTAATAGTTAATACTGATGTCACAGGGAATGGGTTAGCTGGTCAATTGGCTGTCACTTCTTTGCTACATCGATTTGAAGAAGTTCTCAAAAAATATATAGAAGATGAAAAATTGAGTGGAAAATGTCCTCTTCCAAGGTAAATTATTACATAATCAAAAATCACAATAGTCATTATAATCGAACACTCACATCAACATTAGGTACCTATTGGACATTTCACTTAGTAACATTCTTGAACGTGAGATATTGAAAGAAAAACCAAAGGTGCAAGCAGTTATCAAAACACCTCATGTGTCCTTCAGTTAAATTTTATTTTTGTTCTGCAAATATTATTGAGTCATAGTCATATGTCAATAAAAACAATATGATGTAAAAATTTGGAAGTCTTATTCATTTGTTTTCAAATTAAAAATGGGTTATTCAATTCCTCAAATAAAACTCCCCCATGCATTCATTGGCAAAATTACCCGAATCGAGCTTCTATTTGGAAAAATTCGTCTTAAAGAAAATATTCTCTTTTTGAAAAAAGTAGTGCTGCCTTCCAAGCTTGGAACCTATTGGCCTCAATCTGTATAAGAATTATTTCCATACCAATACGCTGCTAGATTTGTAAGAAACATTGTTTTTTTCTAGATTCCGTTTGTCTGAAATATCATTTGTCCTCAAGGCATTGACGACTTTAATAATATCCATGAAAAAATCAGCTTTAGTCAAAGGTAAACTATTTATCAATTTATTTTTTATTATGAATTATTAGGGTTGTATTTTTAGAGGATAATATTGCATGGGAACAACTGATTTCATTGTATCCATACCTGGTAGAATGTACAACTACCACATCAACTCAAGTATCTAGGCCGTTAAGAGAAGCCCTTTTACAGTTCTGTGATTTGCTCCAGCCGCCACATAATTAACATAATAATGCTGTTACGAAGTCAGTGATTTAGATTCTATAGAAAAAAGGAATATACAAATAAGGAAATTGCTGTTCCTCAAAAATAATTATGTAGGAACTTTCATAATACACATATACTGATAGGCTGCTCGTTAATTAATAAATCTTTCGAATTTTTTTATTATCCTGTAACTGAAATGTACTTTGGTACCCCAAGCTTTAACCTACATTTTTGAGTAATTAAAATTTTTTGTATGATAATACAATATGTATAATTTTCTGAGGATATTCTTTAAACTTCAAATTAAAAGCTCGGCAGGGGCGCTAGGTGTCTGAACAGTCCATCCCTAGCAGGAGCGCGAAGAAGTACCGCCCACTACCATAATAGAGCCAGCAGTATTCTGGTGAATTGTACTCGAACGCACTGTGTGAGTAGATTCAAGTACCCAATAAATGAATAATGTTCCAAGTAATTAGCCAACAACTTCCAACTTCACACATTGTGAAGTTCTCACAAATATTTTAATGGAGTACACTCCTCTCAAGAAACTCCTGTCAAAAAACTGAATATGTTGTTTTAAGTTTCTAGATCTTTCGTTAGCAAATTATTGATTTGTTGATATTGAAAATTTTATCTGGGGCAAGAAGCTCTCAACTGTATGACTCAATACTTAATAATGTGAAATAATTTAGAAGCTGATAGTTTCACACTACTCAATATTTCAAATGCGATAGTAAATATAGACGCTATTATTCGTGAAACTGCCATAATAGCATTGCCAATTTATCATATCTTCTAACCCATGTAGGCTATTTTTTTAAATCTATATAATAACGGCTCAAATGATGCCAGAGTTAAGCAACAATAGACATATTTATTAAAAAGCTTATGATTGTCATGCCTATATTCGTACCTGTACAAGAAAACAATATCATGTCTTGCAGTTTATGTTAATTTTTAGATGTTATGTATTTAATGTCTGGTCCTTGACAGATGACCATCACGTGGCAAATGGAATTCCTTCGAATTAAATAATGGTATATTTAAAAGAACGATTGAAAATGTTACACAATTCTATAAGCAACGACACTGAAGGTGTTTCTTTGTAGCTTATATCAAATGCCTTCGCTCATTTTCTGTGGATACAAAATTGTCTAATACATTGCAAGTTTCGAATAACGACTTCTCAATCAACAAGTAAACTTTTGTCGCGTGATCGTCATTTTTCATGGGTCAGATTATGTATTCTCAGTTTGACTGACAAAAATATCTTTTTATCCGTGGAGAAGCAATATTTTTTTCTTAGTTTCAGTTATTAAGTAGTAGATAAAAGGGCCAGAAGTTTTTATTTATTTATCATTCATTCATTTTTATGTATATACCTATTATGAATATTTTTCCTACATAGGGTATCTGAAAATTTTGGAAGAAAAAAGTATAAAACATATATATGTAAATATATTCTATAACAATTTCTTTTGTCCTACTATAAAGAGCAGCCGGATTCTATTTTACGAGTCGAGCGATTCTATTTTCCGATTTTTCGATACGTATAGAGCTGTCGTATTCGATATCGAATGTCTTAATAGACAATTCGACTCGACTCGTAAAATAGGATTTGGCTGGAGGTTTTCAAGAAAAATTGAGAAACATATAAAATTTGGGAAAATTGATATATTATTGAAATTGTTCAACTTTTAATTCGACTCAATTTTCTTTGTTAGCTCTGTGTTAAAATATGACCTGGAATTGCAACAGATTTAGGGCTGATACTTTTGCTCTCGATTAACGAATTTGATACATGTCAAAGATTTGCATGGGTCAAGGTCTATATGTCGGATGTGGTTAGAGCACATTCAAACCCCTGATTATTTTTAACGGCTGTCAAATGAGTGCAAAAGTACCGGCACTTATTCTATTTTTGTTAGTTTCCAAAATTTCATATCTTCCTATAATACCTGTATATTATGCACGTTTCAAAGTCTATATAAAGAAATCAGAGCGCTCTGATAGGCGGAAGAAGTACAAGGGAAATATTATTATTATACAGTGTCCGTTTAGTAAAGAATTCTGTGACATGCCTTCTCAGTTAATATTAAATGAGCTACAAAAATTTATGAGATGTTTGTTTTCGCCTGGTGCGACTAGTGAATATGTATTTTTGAACATAAAGTTTTGCTATTAGTATTCCATAAAAAAAGCAAGTCAAAGTAAAAGATTAAACGTGCTGAATGAAAATGAAAATGAAAAAAATTCGATTCTTAAGGTGCTAGGTGCTCCAGCTGAGACAAAACGCATATTTTACACTTACAACTTTTTCTATTCGTTATACCTGAGAAAGTATATTATAATAATAAAATTACACACTAAATAATAGGTACTCTGTATATATAGTTAGTATAAGCTTTCTAAAATAATCAGGAAATCTTCTGTTTGCCAAAATATAAACCGGGTGTTTTTGACCTTTTTTGCATATTCTATATTGTAAAATATATCTGTAAATAAATCTAATCTAAATGGATTTTTTTAAATTTTTGTAATAAATTGCGAAGTGCCGTTCTTATAAAATTTTCACGTTGATCGTTCATAATAATGGTAATGATTTACATATTAAAAATTATGGCCTGGTGGAAAAGAGTTTTTTAATTTTTGTTAAGATGATTAAGTGTGAGTATTATAATTTAATTTTATTGCATTTTTGTTAATGATGCAATTTTAATTTTTTTTAATGTGATTTATATTAGCAACTAGTGTTGTTTTTGTTATTAAACATTGTTTATTTAAGTTATTGGAACAATAATTAAAACATTATTAATATTGTGTGATGTTTTATTTCCTAATAGGTACGCCCTAAACGTTTGAATGAACGACGAAGTTCATTGCGTCAATGTGTGGGATCCTTTAATATTCATTTCTTCCTTCTGTTATTTGAAAAACTCGAATGGAATTAACCTAGTGGAAGCATGTTTTTTGAAATCGCCCTGAAATCTTTTTCTTTTTTGTGTGAAAGTGCTGGAAACGTGTTCCAGCGGAAGGCTTGTTGAGCCTTATTCACTCAATTATGGACTTCCTCCATTATATGGCTTTTCGTAATACCCGAGAAAGGTTCTGGTTCAAGGCATGGCGTTACTACTCCTTGTCCTCCAAGTGGGTCCGCTATTTCATTCCCCTCCACTCCTTGGTGCCCTGATACCCATGACAGGGTGACTATTGTGAGACGCCAGTTGCTTCAGGAGTTGTTGGCAGTCCCAGACCAGTCTGGACTTAGTGACAGAGCTAGTTAGAGCTCTTAGTGCTGCCTGAGTGTCGGAATTGATGTAGATCTTCGCTCATCGCAGGTCTTCAGGTTCTATTGCGAATATTTCCGCTTGAAACATGGTTGAGCTTTCCCCTAGAGCTATTGATAGTCTACAAAGTGGGCCGTATAACCTGCTCTAGTCCCTTGTTCTGTTTTTGATCCGTCTGTATACCAGGCAGGTCACCCGTTCCATAATACAGATACGATATTTTCTCCCTTGCGGCCCTCAATAGTATCTTTGAAGGAGTGCTCAAATTCGTAGCTGTGTTGCATGTGGTCAACTGGTTTTGTGGTCACATTTATGCATTCTTCTATAATGCTCATGTGGCCGACAAAGTCCCTCTCCTTTTAGTTTTCGGAACTGTATTATTGTCAAGGATCTGTAGGCCTTTTTCCTCACGATTATATCTAGTCTGGGGAGGCTCAGTATGACCTCCATTGCGGCGGTTGGACAGGTGTTCATTGTCCTTGTAATTCCAAGACATGCATGCATCCTTTTGTATGTACAGTTGCCAATCGTTTTTGCGCCGTCCGTTGTTCTACTTTTGGCCACCATACTATTGCAGCGTGAGTGATCATATGTCATAGACTTTGCCCCAAGTCTTGCGGAATAATCTCCGGCATGTCGGCTATTGCCTGGTCGGTTATTCTTTTAGGAGGCTGGTTCCAAATAAGTTTCCGATCCAAGAGAACTCCCAGATACTCAACCTTAATTGCGAAGTTGATTTGTATCCATCCCTTTAAAGGTTGAGGCGGTTAGATTCAGCCCCCTTTTCCTTGTAAAAGATACAATTATTATTTTGTTGGGGTTTACGCTTGAACCCTCCTGTATGAGGTCACTAATGATCCTGTCATGCTTACCCCTAATGATGACTGTGAGGTCGTCAGCATATCCTAGGACCGTGATCCCTTGGACGCTTAGCGCGTTGAGAAGTTCATCTTCTACTACTACTACTACTACTACTACTACTAGTGACACTACCCCTTGGAGGCATACCTTGACTGCTGAGACTGTTGCAGAGTCACCTCCAATTTGTAGCTAGCTTTGAACATTTTGCTAAGTGTGGTGCTAATTCTCCCAGGCTCCGTTGTAAGAGGGCGGGAAAGATCCTATGTTCACCTGCTGATTTGTAGGGTTGAGAGCTGTTTATAGCCTATTTTTTATTATTTCCGGTGAATATCTTTCCGCCTAGGCTTTTAGTGTGGTTGGTCAGTCGCGGAACGCCTTCTACCACCATAGCCCTTTTTCCATCAGGTTGCCACTCGATAGACCCGGAAAAGTGTGTTTGCAGAAGCAATTTTATTCTCTCCAGTCTGTTATCGGTGTAGCTGCTATCAAATCTCTGAAGGAGCCCGATAACTGCTTCGAGTGATCTTTTGCTAGGATTCTCTGGAGGCGTATTATCTGAGGGGCGTCGGTCATCTCCTTGCAGAATCTTCCCTAGGATTCTCTTCTAAATCTTCTCAATTCTTTGTTGTATTTATTCTCTTACGGCTCTTTTGTATTCGGTCTAGTCGTTGGTGCGTTCAGCCTAAGGTTCAGCCCTATTGAATAATTTTCTTGTTTCAGTCCTTGGCAAGGATGAGCTGAGTGTTTTGAAGAAAAGGCAAAGTTTTTGTAATGGTATGATTTACCCAAAGGTGGGCACAGTTAATCGAAAAGTTAACTTCGTTAATCGTTAATTCGCTACTTGAAAAGTTATTTTCGATAATCGTCAATCGTTAAATTTTTGAGAATATAACGCATGTTAAAGTTATACGTTAAGAGTTAATTATCGAAAAGTTATACTGATGTTTGAAGCTAATTATAAGTAATAGATAATTGAAATAGAATAGGCTGGGCTAGGGTACAGTATTTTTAATACCTATTTGGAAGTACCAGTCGTTTCAGGGATTTGTGATTGGTTGGTAATTTTTTGTTTCATCTGATTCATGATTGATGAACAAGGATGGTGTTATTCCAATTGGGTATTAAAAATTAAAAATACCTACACTCCCACACAGGTGAATGTGAATAAAACAAAAAGTATCTGGATCTGACAAGCGGCACTATTTCCAATTTAGGTACGTAGCTGATTTATTTATCATTCACCTCTGCAAGAAAAAAGAGCTTATAGAACAATGCAGACAACACCACAGCCCAACGATTCGCCTCAGCTCACAGCCTACCTAACAGTACAATAGAATTAAGGGCTTGCGCATCGATCTCACTGTACGGAATCAGGTTTGGAGTCATTCCAGAACAGTTCCAAACTTGAAACTGCGTAGTCCGTAGCGAACTGAAATCTTTCTACGCCTGTGCGAACTGTCCCGATTAACCTTGACGCGCGATTCAACCAAACAAAATGACGTCATTTACGAACGTAACGGACTAAAGTTAACAGAAGTCCAATGTAACGGAAGTTAAGAAAACCGTTAATATATTTTTAGGTTAACTTAAAAGTTAAATTTAAGCAATTTTTTTAACTTCGTTAATTAACGGATAACGGATTAACGGTTTTCTGCCCAGCTTTGGATTACCTACATTACCTACAAAAACTTTACCTTTTCAACTTTTCTGGTCTGGTGTACTTCCTAACCCCCCCCCCCTCCTCGAGCTGAGTGTCTTGTTCCACCAGGGGGCCGATTCTCGGGCCAGGGAGCAGATCCCCGAGAGAATACATTTTTCGTCTTTATCATTCGCGTTTACTTTTCGATTACGTTGACAAGGACAAAATATTCGTTTTATCGGGGAGCTCTATCGGCCCCTAGGACGTTTTCCTGTCCACCACCCGTTGCTTCATAGAACAACTGTTCTCATATGTTGTAGATTGAATAGAATTCTAGATCGGTGCTTTCCGTTAGGTCTTTATACATATCGCAGTCGGTGTCGTGTTACAAATAAATTCACTTCACAATAATTTTATTTTCGCAATGTAACTGATATTGTAAGTAACAAGTTACTTTTTACAATTTGACAGTTAACAGTTTGGTTTTTCCGATGATACTGATACAATGTACCTCTTCCAATCCGGAGCTCTTCAGGTCATTTCCTATATTCAGGAACGAGGATAGATTGCTGGTGTGATGTCACTCCAGCTGATCCAGACTCCAAATGATGATCTTGTGGAATAGGTACCCAGAAGAGAATTTACAGTATCAGGTTCACCAAATTTTGGAATATTTATAATTCCTGAATTCTGTTAAAAAGCAAGTATCTTGCAAAGAAAAAAAAAATTATTATGAAATTAGTTTATTTATAAAACCATTATTGTGCAGACACTCCTTTTCAACAGAATCAGGAATGAGCAACTGCAATTTCTAGCATTGAGCAGAATGCTACTTCTCGTGTGCAGCGGCGCGGAACAGGCAAAAAAAAATTCAAAAAATGTAGGAAAAATTGAAGAAGATAAAAAAATAAATCTCTAGATTTTCCCCAAATAGATGAATTTTCCTTTTAAGTTAAGGTACTTTCTTTTGGTACTAGAAGATAAAGCTGAGAGTGAAATAAATTAAATCCAAGGAACTGTCAAAATTTTTGAGATGTTTGGATTAAAACATTTTAAGTGAATGTTAACCTATTTATTTGCCAAAACTTTGAATTGACTCTCCTCAGAAAAACGTGGTGCTACACAAAATGGAGGCTCACAATATAGATTTAAAAAAATATATAATGTTTATATTTTCAGAAAGATAAGATAAGATATCAGGTAACAAAAAACCCAACACTGATGATGAAATAAAACGAAAAATATGAAGGGAAAATCTAGAAATCTGAAGGGGAAAAAAAAAATAAAAATACAAAGTGAAAATGGACTTGCCTGTTGAAAGGTATGCCAGAGAAGAGGCTTTTTTAGAACCAAATCCCTTGAAGAAAACCAGTCTCGTGTTTTTTTATACTTAACTGCGTAGTAACCATCGACCAATTAGAAGAGAACTCAAAAACACACAAAAGATACCGTGTTCACTTCATTAATGAAACACCACGCTGATTAAATGAGAATTGATAGAAAAACACTAGAATTATTTTAATTGTTTACAAATTATAATGATTCAAATTCAGGTTATTAGGTATGTTGGAAACACAAAACCACTAATTAATTAGGTCATCAAGTTAAAAATAAAAATTTCAAAATCAGAAGTTAGAGGAAGACAGAAATATATTTATTTGCTGAAAGCAGGATAATAGTATATTATATAATACCTAGGTATATAATGACTTTCTCTACCGAGGAATATATAGAATTTTTTTTACTACTGTTAGTAGAAAATAAAAAGTTTTAAAATCTAATTATTTTTTTTGAACGCCCTCTTGAAAGTGCTGCCCTCTATCAACAGCTTATGATAACTTCCTACCTACAGAAACCTGTATTTTTTTTAAAATTGACATATGAAATTGAAATTGAATCAATAGGTTCGTTCCAACCCCCCGTTTTCGTATCGTCATGAAACGGTTTCGGAACTGTTAGGATCGATTGCAGGCGCATGCGTTGACCTTGCACGGTTTTATCTTGGTACAGAAACAACGGGTAGTTGGAACGGTTTCATGATCGTTTTCGTAATGACGACAGTTCAAATAACTTTAACCCTAAATTTGTTTGTTTGCAAATTAAAATAGAAGAATATAGGATTAGGATTACAAAATAATATATAAAAAAGGAAAATCGAACACCAACGCTGATTCATTATCAAGAATCTAAAACTGAATCCTTGCAAGCTGATAACATCAAGGATTAGCAAATAGCTGATAATAAATTTTGTACTTTTTTTCACTTGAAAAAATAAAAATGCTACAGTTTTATAAGTTAGATTGGAAATTGGTTGTTTAACAACAACATGAACAACAAAAACAGGTGACAAAAATTGAATTACGCATGTCAGTCATGAATCAGTCCACGCGGTTCTTGCTTTCCACTCGGGATCGAAATGACGGTGCTAAAACCAGTTCTCGAACGATCCCAGGTTTGGTTGGAACGCCAACGAAACTGTACGGTAAACGATCATCTCTCGGTTGGAACGCGTTTAACCTATGGCGCATGACCGTGACCGTACATTGTACGGTTTTTGGCTGGGTTGGAACGAACCTAATAGAAACATGACAATATCCTTGCATCATGACGTCATTTTCATTATTGACCTAGGTATTTTTTCATTATTTTCATTATTCACCTAGGGAGTAGTAAAAAACATAATTTCTTCATATAAAAATATCAATGAGGAATAATAAAGATAGTTGAACAAACCTACCACAATTTTTAACTAAATTTATTTAGGTACTAGATGGCGGTAAGTTAGTACTTCTCTTAATAACAGATATTTGCATTTTTATGCTTATATTTTATTTATGGATAGATGGCAATACTGATATTATATTGAATTATTCAAACTTAGTAGATACTTTTTACTTGAGTTATGAACAACAAGTACGAAAGGCGAGTTCAAGGGCTATCTTGGTCAGTTCGACCCTACGGGATTGAGAATTTTTACTTGGGGGGTCATCAATGGGGACCCCGATGTAGTGTTGTGGATTGTGCACAATTTCCGTATCTAAGGGAAAACGTAAATTTGAAATGTCACTCTCTGTATGATTTATTGCAACTTACATATTGTTTATAAGTGAATCTTTCTAATGTTCACAAATTTTAAAAGTCGTTCTTTGAAATAAGCCAGTATATTGCCTTGAGGATAAGAGATAATTATAACATTTTTGGATGCATTGTTGAATAGCTAAAACGGAGTTATTCTGGGTCAAGTGTCTCGAGACACCCCATAGAAGTTGTATCTAGAGAAAGAAAAAGTCGTCATGAAGAAACAAGTGAAAAGTCAAGTAGGTATACACTATTTCAGCATAAGAGAGCAAATTGACTTTTGAAAAGAAACCGCATTATGAAAGCCCAGTGAAATTTTTTTCTGGTAGAAAATACTTTCTAGGTAGTTTTATATAATCTATATATTATTCGGGTAGGTAGTTAATGAATTATGGCGTGTTCGCGTCAGTGGCGACGCCAGGGTTTTATGTTAGGGGGGGCCAGACTGGGCCAGAAAAAATTAGGGGGGGCCAGACTGGAGCAGAAAAATTTAGGGGGTGGAAAAAAAAACATCAACGCAAGACATATCCAAGTGAAAATAGTTATTTTCCTAACAAGTGCGCAAAGTGTTAATTTTCCGCAAGCAAACCCAGTTTGTATAGATGATATAAAAACAGAGGAAAAAATTTTCATCATGTGTCAGTCGACAGGTGCACTTATTGTTGCTTGATAATTAGTTTTACTTTTTCGCACTGAATGCGAATGAAGACCTTATGCGCACAGAGTGCGAAAAAGTGTAACTTTGAGTACGGAAATGCGTGCGGAAAACTACTACTTACCGAAACCTAAAACCTAAAGCAGTAAAATTGTTCGGTTATTATGATTTTTAGCAGAAGTATCAACAATATTATCAAGATTCATATTATACAGGGTGTCCCACAATCAGCGTTACAGGCCATAACTTTCTTATTTTTAGAAATAAAAATTTGAAAAAAAAAATGGCTAATGGTTAGTTAAGCTCTCTTCAAAAATATAAAAAAATCTTCCCCTGACAAAAGCATCCCCTATTTACAACCCTTCACTTTTTTTTTCCAAATGGCACCCCTAATTTTATTTTTTTAGTTTTGAGAAGTTCATGAAATTGCAAATTCAATGATGAGTTTGTTAGGGAAGATTTTTTTAATATTCTTGAAAAAGGGTTAATTTGCACACAATTAATTTTTTTTTGTCATATTTTTATTTTTGTAGACAAAAATGTGTTTGCCTGTATAAGACTATATAAGGGTGGAACACCCATTTTTTTTCCCCCAAGAGACATGAAAAAACAAATTTTTATTTTTGAAAATAAGAAAGTTATGGCCTGTAACGTTGATTGTGGGACACCATGTATACAGGGTGTCCCACGAAGTTTTTCCCAAATGATAATTTCGGAACGCATCATCGTATGTTCCACTGTATAATTTTCTGTCATATCCTTTAACAAAGCCTTAACAAATATGGCATAGCCGATTTTGTAATTTAAGTTTCTAACGAGAAATGCCATAATATACCATGAGTTACATTTAAAATTCGAAAGTTGACGTCACTTTGCCGAAATTGGAGCAAAAATGGTGGAATTGGATGACAGTGCAGAATTTGCAACTAACTGAAAAAAAACTTTAGGCCAAGAGAAGTCGAATGGTGCAAATCGCAGGTAGCTAGCACACCTGGTTTAAAAGTTATACGCATTTACAATCGGTCACTTTCTATTGGGACACCCTGTATTGTAAGGAATCACATCCTGAAGTTACGAACCGTACTTTGGAAACACCCTGTATATTTTTCTATTTTTTGACCACCCTGTACATGCTGTTTCAAGTTTCAATAGTTTAATAGTATTTTCTCAAGAAGCAGAAACTTTTATAAAGAATAACTTTTTTTCGTAAAATTGTTAATAAAAAAGTTTCCCATATGCTGCGAACTTGAGTGCACACACTGTATATAATATCATATGTAACATTTTGTTATATTTTCGGTGTAGACTTTTTTTATGCGACTTTTGGCACAAGCGCAAGTTTTCAGGGGGGGCCCCGGCCCCCCCTGGCGTCGCCACTGGTTCGCGTGTCATTATAAAACTTAATTCGCTACGTACTAATATTTTACCGACATTATAAAATGTATTTAACGTAGCTATAAACAAATATTGAAGGTATTCAAAAAGTATGTACGGCACCAATGCCACCAATATTTAGTTATTTAATGAAGAATAAATAATTCTAGTATTCTCCCTTCTTGATGTTTTTTTAAAAGTCGCAAAAACTGCATTCTTATAGCCAACCTTTCGAATTTGTCTGCAGTGGTGTAAATATTGATTACATTTAAAGTGAACAACATAATGAGTGAATATTCCTTCTTTTATTACACACTTGTGTTTTGCACCAACGTAAAGCCATTTATCGAATTAAATTGTTAGATGTTTGGGGGAGCCTCGTCTGAAGGACTATAAAACAATTTTTTTATTTAAATATTTATTTTTAGTTTCGTGCCATTATATTTCAGATTAAAGATGCGGACAGTTTTGCGATTTTTTGTTGCAATAGTTCTGGTTCATTGCACAGGTAATTCTTTATTTACTATTACTTATTTTATACATATTCGCTTTGTTATGTTTTTTAAATGCCTAACAAGCTGCTTACAAGAGAGAAATTTACAAATTTTTCAAAAGAAAAATCATGAGAATATATGCATTATCTTTGGCCCTTGAGTCCCTGGAGTGGCGCTTTTCTTATTTTTTTTTCGTAATGCAGCAGAAGAGTAGTGGCAGAATGCCAATTTGAAAAATATCCATTTTCGCAGCCTATATTTGTTACCTACTTAAGAACTTTTGTTTTTTTTTAACTTTGACAGTTACTGTTTCTACTTTTGAACAAAATAAAAAATTACAGGTCTAATAAAAAGTTTAGGTATTAGTGAGGGAAGCCTGGTATAAATATTTTATTTCAGAGCTCTTCGTCCCTAACAGATTCTCTTAGTCGCATTCGAATAGATATTCCTGCCTCTGTATGAAGCTAGCCTTTCTATATGAACGAACTTTGTCTTGAATCCTGTACCGAATCATTGATTTTCTTGAAGACTTTGTATGATCCATATAATCAAGGTTTTTGTAATTTGGGGATTTGTTCCTTGCTTCGTTGTGGCTGATACAACCAGAAGGCGTCATCTTCACTGAAGGGGTTCAATTGCTGCCGCTTGTCGAGTGTCATCCTCATTCTGTTACTGTTGAGACGCAGTCTATCACTGGTGAAATGGTGAACCAGTCTGTGCCTATCCAGATTGTGGACACTGCACTGAACCGAAATTTACCGAATAAGCGAACATCAGTGGGGGTATTCAACGAATTTACCAGGATAGATTGGTACTGTCGGAGAGAAAAGTTGATTTGTTGCAATGTCGGCGATTTTCCGATTTTTTTTTCGAATTGCAAGATATTAATAATTATTGGTGGTTAGGTACCTTTCGAATGAACAATCTGTATGTGAGCAAACAGAAATAACTAATCCGACTAAGAAACACCAGTGTCATTATCAGAGGAGTCTTGGGTGTATCTCCTCATTTTACTTTTGTTCAGGAATCACTAGCAATTTGGTGACATCCTTATTTGGCAGGCGCTATATTAGTCCAGGCGCTGATGTACGATTAAATATATTTTCTCCCAGCAATCTACCATCCATAACTGATTTATTGCCGGACCTTATTTTAAAACTTATGAGGAGGATATTCGTTGGCTAGACTATAATAGGTGGTTTTTCTGCCAAAAACAGAGTCTATGCTTCTCTTCGACCGCATCGTAGCAATTATTCCCTCCTTTTTTGTTAAAACACACAGCGGATCTTTCTCCGGTTGGTATGAACTATCCAAGTATCGTAAAAATAATCCCAAGAAATTTGTGATTCTTTAGAAAAAAAGTAACAAGTAATAAGTATCATCATATAGCATTAATTTTCTAACAAATTTAGTATCCAACAATTATTTCCTGATTAACATATATCCTGATTATTGCATTATTTCCCATATCAGCCTATTTATAGTTATAATTATATTTTCGAACAACTATATAATCGAGAAACTTTGTCTTCTAATAAAAGGGTTCCAAACAATTTTCCTTATTTATGTTCATTTCATTCGTGCGTTTCCCCATAACATTCTAAGCTATAGGTACGAATACGTGATTTTTTTTTTGTTGAATATAATTTTTGTTTCCAAATTTCAGAAGAAATTGAGGAAAATTGTACTGATTTTCAAGGAAAAATAATAGAGCACGGAAACTTATATGTGCCAGGACCTTCAGTCTGTTCAATGTGTGTATGCTATCATAGCGAACCTAAATGGTGCAGTGATATTTATTGCGATCCGCCCTACGTAAGTATGTTTTCAGAATTCCATTTCATTGCTAAACTCATTAAAGAGCAAATTTAGTAATAAATAATTTTAATATTTTTTTTTTTTAGTTTTGTAGAAAGTTCCGTGTGAAAGAACGCTGCTGCGAGTTCGAATGCCTAGACCCTCCTGGTGATATTGCCGCCAAAATGTTGCAAGAACATCGTAGCAAATATAGAAATTCTGCCGATTTGGAACATTGCAAAAACCATCTTTTGAAAATCGGCATAATTTTATTTAGTCTTATTTATTTTCATATATTGTAAAAATGTAGCTATTAGGGTATCTGAACGAATCTTCAGCTTCTTCTTAGGGGCAATTTCGAAGCAATGACAGGTGATAATATTGTTAGATTAGTTATTTAAGTTCCAATCTGTTGAAAAGCCGCTTACCGCAGTACTATAAGTTGCCAGCAACTTTCAATTGTGTCAACTGATAATGTGACGTTACCAATTTACTCCTTTTCAGCAACTTATTTTGCGATTTACCAGCAGAATAGTAATTTGGGTCTAAGTGCCACTTTTATAATTATTAATCCTTCAGCTAAAGTGACTATCTTCTAATCTTTCTGATTAATTTCAATTGACACCAGGCCATTGTCACTGTACATTTTAAAGTTGACCATGAATGTGATCCCGAGGAGTTTGAATTTGGCTTTATCCAAAAAAGTTTAGCCCTCTAAATCTTGGTTACTTCGAATAAATGCACAAGTTCAAATAGCTCAACGATAATTTTTTTTTGTTTTTGCGAAAAAAAATCGAAATAGATTAATTATTCTCTTTTGTGCTGGTTATATAGGCTTTATCCGAACATGCTTTCATATTTTCTTGATTCATTTTCCGAACATGCAAGAAAATATAAAACATCCCAGTCTATTTGCTCTATGGTTCAGTACTGCAATAATTGATCACCGAGTTCAAATTTTAATGGGGTAGCTGAAAAGGATAATATACAGGGTGATTTGCGTAGCCCGTGCATTAGCTTGCAAGAGGATTAGATAATAATAATACCTACTAATAACTGAAAAACTTCTAATGCACAGGCTATGGAAATCACGTAGTAGATATTGAACTTTTAATCTAAATATCTTAAATAAATAATTACTGAAGAAGGTAAGTATAGGTACTTGGATTTTACTTCAGGGCGCTGAAAAGTTAATATAGGAACAGATTTGATAGAGAGGCCTTTTTATAGAAGAAGTTTAAATGTTACATAATGTTATTTTTGTGTTAAAGAGTAATTAAACAAGTACCTATAGTTAAACGTGATTCAAAATCTTTGGATTTGTCAAAAATCAAAACGAAGCAAAAAGTTCCGATTTGTTCGCTTACCTTTTTCTCTACAAAATTAAAAGTCAACCACCGAAAAAGACTGGAAACTAACGGCGACTTCTGATTGGTCTGTTCCAATGCGATTTACTTTATTATTATACCTACGCACGCTATAATAAAATTCAACATATATATTTGGGTGGTGTGTGACCGCTGTGTGACATAACAGAACCGCTTTTCTTTACACTTCTCCATCACTTTCCACAAACTCTACAATGACAAACAAATACAAAAAATTCTTCAAAACTTCTATTGATCGGCGGATAACTGGCAAACCAATGGGATTACAGATTGCGTTTTTATCCGTCAGATTGCATACCTGACAGTTTCTCAGAAGGTGAATAAACCGGCTTTTAGTAAAGTAAACTGATAATAACTCATACTATGAGTTTCTATTGTTTCTACAATACCTACGTGTGGTTTTGCTATATAAGTAAGACAATAGAGGAACTAGAATTTCTCAATCATTGCGGGGTACTGGCGCTCATCGCATAACGGCACCTAATGATCAAGAATTCGGGTTTCTCTATTATCTTAAACAACAATACCTCCGTATTGTGTAATCTGGTCAAGACCAGGAACAATACGAACTCATGGTATGATTTATTATACAGTTATTAAACAGTTGGTGCTACGATTAAAATACTTATGTTTTCGTATACAGACCGGATCAACCTACTAGACACATAGGAAGTCATAAGACGAGTTAGCTTGTACCCGGCGCGGTCTCAGCGAATCGAGGCGGTGCTGCCGAAGCCGAGTATAGCCGAGCTGACGAAGATGCACGAATTTCAATAGCATGTAGCACGACATGGATAATATGGGTACAGTGAACTGATCCCATTGAAGCCTATGTGTCTAGTAGCCTGGATTTGCCTGATTAGTTTCAGTTTATATTCTGCAGACAATACAATACAGACGTTCAAAAACTAATATTTTGAAGACGTCTTCGCTTAGACAAATGACGTCGCAGAGTAAAATTACCCAAAAAGACACGTCTTGGGGACTTCAACTTGATATCCTAGATCAATTTGGTAGTTTATACTAAACCAAACAATCAATAGTAAATGTATATTAACTTTCTTTAAATATATAAAATCAATACAAATAAAAAGCTTTTTATAAAAATAATACAAGTTGAGTTAGGTATTGTTTTAAAACCCTACGTCCATCTAAATGTCTAATAGGTCCTACTTATTCTCTCCTTTTTTAGGAAGTTGTAAGTATACTGAGTACATGGTATAACAACGAATGATATAGTCAAAAAATAAATTAATATCATCGGTGATAAATCTATAACAATCATATTCGTATTCCTGCAAAAAAAATATCAAGCTCAAAAGCCATATTATGTAGCTTCAAAGGTGAGTATTGTGATACTTATGTACCTATGTACGAGCAAATGTCCACTTTTTTTTTGTTGGTGCTCGATTGAAACTTTGACCACAATATTAGCTAATTATTCTTATGCGAATCTTCTACACTTCGTCTTTTATTTACAATTAGAAAAATCGTCGCAAACAGCGCCAAGACCATTCCATAAACTGCACAAGTGTGAATGACCCCAGCTTCTTCTGTATTGCCATATGGTCCTGGTTTAGCCATGTAACCTATCGAGTCAACTGATCTGGCAGATCTAGAACGAGAAAGATTTGGAGATGGTTCGCATCCAGATTCTCTGACATATTTAGCCCAAGTCCTAGTTGATGTTGAAATTTTTCTTTGCGGTTGTTTAAATGGTTTTCTACCAGCTACTGTTTTGTTCATAATCAATGGTAAACCAACTTTTTGATCGTAACTACAAACAAGTAACCGTTTCCTCTTATACTTTCCAACTGTAACATCAGCAGCACCAATTGTTGATCCTTCCAAAATACTTAAATCTTCTCTCTCAATATTGGCCCAATCCCACAGATCTGCTATAGAACAGCTACATTTCCATGGATTGCCTATTAGTTTTAGTTTGGTAATTTGATTGTTGAACCCGATTTCTTTTGGCGACAATGTTGTCAAGTTGTTATTGGTTAAATCTAGTACTTCTAATTTCGGCAACAGTTCCAAAAATTGGAAATTATTGGGAGAACTAAAATGATTTCCAGCAATAATTAGAGTTGTTATGTTTCTTGTCCAAAAGAATGCATCGGGTGGTAAGAAAGTTAAATTACAATTACTAAGATCTAATATTAGAAGTCTGGAAAGTTGTTTGGGGAAAATTGGACCAGTTTTTGACACTCGAAGTGGATTGCCTGCTAACTGCAATTCTGTTAAATCTGTATAAGTGAAGTTGTTAAAGAATAACGTTGCGTTAAGCGGACGACGCAAACCACAGAAATTTAGAACCAAACTTTCCAAATGAGTCAAATTATTAAATAATCCAGCTTCCAAATTGTTGAGATCGTTTCCTGACAAAACCAAACGCTTCATGGATGTCATTTTGGTAAATGAATCAGGAGCAATAGAAGATAAATTACTGTATCCCATATTTAAATATTCTAAAGTTTCCAAAGGTGCTAGCAATTGTATAAAGGCATCGTTGAGTGGATTACGAGATATATCTAACTCATGAAGACTCTTGAAGTTATAGAAGGTGTCGGGCAGTCGTCGTAACTCGCAATTGCTTAAGGAAAGTTTTTGCAAGTCTGCGAGAGGCGATAAAGCAACCAACAAGTCAGATGCGAAAAGAGTGTTTCCTGAGAGATCAAGATTCCTTATTTTGGTTGAATTTGCGAAGGTATCTTCGGATAGCGGTACTGTTAAGTTGCAGTCGGACAAGTCCAATGTTTCTAAATTATACAAATCCATAATAGTTTTACCTACATCTATATCTGTTAAATTATTTTCCGCCAAGACTAAAACCCTTAAATATTGATTATTTGAAAAGGTCGTCTCGGTTAATTGGTTAGCATAAGAATGTCGCAAATCTAAATTTTCTAATAGAGGCAGTTTTGAGAAAACAGCCTCCCAGTTTGCCTGACTCAAAAAGTTATTACCGCTAAGCTCTAATGTTTTTAAACCATGCTGAGCTGTAAACGTATCAGCCATTATTGCCGTTAAATTACAATTATTTAATTTCAGTGTCTCTAAGCTAGTTAATTTTTCGAATGCGCGCGTATCAAGAATATTAAGCGGATTATCGGACAAATCCAAGGTGGTCAGAGAGGTGGTGTTTTCAAAAAAGTGCTCGTTCAAATAATTCAGAGAACAGTTACTGATATCTAAATATAAAAGGGTGTTTATCGCCAGGAATGGTCCTTCCACTGGATCAAGAGGGTTGTTCTGTAGCTCCAGAGTTAAGAAACCAGCGGAGTCACTGAAAAAAAAGAACTTTTAATAGACTGTTCACAGGTCATGCAAAATGCGGTAATTATAAAAATTAGTTCACTTACAAAAATAAGTCGGGATCAATTTTTTTTATATAGTTTCCTGAAAAATCGGCATCTATTAGGTAGTTCAAGCCTGAAACAAAAAAATATATGTAATATTATTATTTTCACTGGGTAGGTAGGTATCGCTTTTCCTATAATGGTCCTAACGAGTCCGGAAATTATATACAGTGAGCACCTAAAGGTTGGAATAAAATCCATAAAATATACAGGGTTGAACTTTTTCAAAAAACCTCGGACACGTCGATTTTTGATTCCAGTTGCCGTTTTTTTGATGATAATATCATGTATACAGGTTGATCCATAGACAAGTTATGACAGCTTATAAACAACTTATAAAAGCACCAATTTTCCATTTCATTTTCAAATTCTACTTTGAATTCTTAGCCTATCTTATGTATCATGTCCTATACCTATCTTCAACTGTTTAGGAAAATTAAATAAAAAGTTGGTGTTTTCATTTAAAAAAATAAGGTTAGCTGTCATAACTTGTTGGGTCACGGCTACCAAAATCAAAAATTGATGTGTCCGAGGTTTTTTGAAAAATATCATGTATGGATTTTATTTCAACCTTTACGTGTCCACTGTATAACTTATTCGTAAGGGAAAATCTCAAGCAATACTGTCCTAAACTGAAATTCTACAAGAAGTGCGTGAAATATCCTGTTACCAATCATCAATTCTAAGATGAAATTAATAATTTTCGTTTTGAAACAACCACAGAGATCGTGTGACTTTTAACCTTTTTCAATGATCCCGTTTATTTGATTGATTTTGTTAGTAATAATGTAAAGTAATAATGTAAAGTAATAATGGATTAAAGTCCGTCGTTTTTAATATGACACTTTTCGTATGAGGAGCGAGGGGTTATTTCATATGGCAGAAACAGGTGTGACGTTAGGTAACCATAGGCGTTCTAATGGAGGAAGCAACCGGGTCACATTCCTTAGGAATATCAGATTAAAATCGACAGACTATACATCTTACGATGCCTATAAAGTAGGTAGACGCTTTTTACTCATTGGGCGTCGACCGGTGAGATACCACCATGCCAGAATTGAGTAGCGCTAAGTGGTATCACTACGTTCCGCTACTGCGCTGGCAGTCCGGTTCCAACAATGAGTAACAGATAGCATGATGGCGCCTCCAGGATCAAAATATTCCGGAGGTAAAATACCCGACCACTTAGCAATATAAGAGGAATAAGTACAAATATGAATTCAGTTCACCAACATCTTGAAGAACAAAGACCTGACATCCTTGTTCTCACTGAAACTAAAATCAGTTCTGCAACACCTATTGTGAACTATCTTTATCCCGGCTATGACCTACACCACCGATTTCGACATAATTTTGGGATCTGTGTGTACATTAAAAATGACCTTTCATGTCATCGAGAGGAGAAGCTAGAACCAGCGAACCTTGATATCATATGGCTAAAATTCACCTCAAAGTCATCGACCAAGTTTATCTGCTGCCTCTACCGACCGCCATCTAACACCGAGTATCAAAACTTTTACGCGACATTATCCGAAAGCTGTGATAGTATACAGTCAAACTATCCACAGGTGGAAATTGTCTTTTTAGGCGATTTCAACGTCCACAATATACCCTGGCTGAAACACCACAACAAAACAGATAACGAAGGCAGAGAAGCAGAAGCTTTTGCCATAAGTTGTGGTCTAACGCAGCTTGTCGATGAACCTACCCGTATCTCAGAAAGGGGCGAATTTGCAGCGCTTTTAGACTTGTTCCTAACCACAAATCCTGACTCGTACACAATTCAAGTAGATGCTCCACTTGGTTCGTCCGATCATAAACTTATAATAACAAAGTGCGAAATGCTCATCCCACCAAGCCAACAACCACTTCCTCGTAAAATGTGGCACTATAAATCGGCAAAATGGAATGACCTAAAACAGTTTTACCTGGATTTTCCATGGCAAGAGGTTTGCTTTAAAACAGCTGATCCCACTATTTGCTGTAATGAAATAACACAAGTAATCTTATCTGGAATGGATGCATATATCCCACATACAACTAAACATAGAGCTAATGCAAAACCTTGGTTCAACAGCCAGTGTCAAACGGCTGTACAGAAAAAACACAGAGCATATAACCTTTGGAAACGACAACAAACCGCTCAAAACCACACAGAATTTATAGAAGCCAGAAATAGTTGCAAAATTACTATTGACTCCGCTAAAGAAACATACAATCAAAGAATAAAAAACAGGTTGCTGAATTGTCCAAGTAGTTCTAGGTCCTTTTGGTCTCCTGCAAAAGCTGTTGGATCTAACTTCACCAAGTCATCCATACCACCACTTACAGATAAAAATAATCACTTAGCCACAACATCAGAGGAAAAAGCCAATATGCTGGCCCAAATGTTTTCCTCCAACTCCAACCTAACAGTGCCAAACGGAAAAACTCCACCGTTCATTGAAAGGGTTTCCCATAGTATGCCAGAGGTACCCTTTTGTCACAGAGAAATACGAAAATCCCTTAAAAAGCTAGATACAAACAAAGCAATGGGTCCGGATGGCATTCCCGCAATAGTACTCAAAAATTGCGCCAACGAACTCACCCCAACTTTCGCAAAATTATTCAATTTGTCTTACAGGCAAGAAGTATATCCATCATCATGGAAGTCTGCCGCAGTACAACCCATTCCAAAGAAAGGAAAAAAGACAGATCCGTTAAACTATAGACCAATTGCTCTACTTCCGGTGATATCAAAAGTAATGGAAAGAGTTGTGAACAATCACCTAACCAAGTACTTGGAAAAGTACAAAATTATCAACGATAAGCAATACGGATTTCGAAAATATAGGTCAACTGGCGATTTACTTACATACGTCACTCACTTATGGCAAAAAGCGATTGAGTTGCGGGGTGAAACAAGAACAATTGCCTTAGATATATCTAAAGCATTCGACAAAGTGTGGCATGAAAATCTGCTCAACAAGCCCAAAGCAATGGGATTATCGCCGAAACTTTGCACTTGGTTTAAAAGTTACCTAAAGGACAGATTCATTTATGTTGCACTGGATGGCCAGAACTCCAACTCTTACCAAATAAATGCTGGTGTGCCACAGGGAGCAATCCTTTCGCCAACTCTTTTTCTGATTTACATAAATGACCTCATAGATAAAACAGAAAATCCACTTTATTGCTTTGCAGACGATGGCAATGTAGTCTCCTCACTCATACCACCCACAGGTCTTTCCGCACGTGAATTCCATCATCTTAGACTAACTCAAATATCGCAGATAAATAACGACCTGGAGATAATAGAGGACTAGGGTAACAAAAACCTTGTACAGTTCAACGCGCAGAAAACCCAAGCAGCTCTGTTTTCAAAAAAGACCAGCACCGGTGAGCCAAACATCATGCTATCTGGAAGTGCTGTCACATTACAGAGTCAGTTGAACATCTTGGGGGTTACTGCAGAGACCAACATGTCTTGGCACAGTCACGTGGCAGATATTGCTAAAAGGGCGTCCCAAAAGCTGGGGGTGCTATTTCGTACAAGACATCTGTACACACCAAGCCAATTGCTGACACTCTACAAAGCCCAGATTCGACCAACTATGGAGTACTGCTCACATATATGGAGTGCAGCACCCAAACATACCTTAATGCTTTTGAACACCGTGCAAAAACGAGCTATCAAGCTGATCAATGACCCCGCAGTTACTCGTAACTTGGATGGTCTCGAACATCGCAGATCTGTGGGCGATTTATCTCTCTTCTACAGGTACTATCACGGAAAATGCTCTGAAGAGTTGGCACGTATGATTCCACCGAGAGTAGCGCCTACCAGGCGAACCCGTCAAACAGACGGTAACCATGAATTTACTGTCAAACTAGAGGCACCAAGAACCTCATTATATTAGAATTCATATCTCTGGAGAACAGCATCGCTGTGGAATAAACTCCCTGCGACGGTTTTTCCTGCAGGTTACAACCTGAACCGTTTCAAGACCAACATACACCGACATTTCCGCGCACTCGCCGCTTCTCGAGCGTGATAGGACATTTCCTTGCGAGTGCGCATATCCGTAAAAAAAAAAAAAAAGTAGAATTATTATGCAGATATTGTAAGAATAAATTTTAAATGTTGTTGCAACAAATTTGTTTAGAGAAAGAAAAAAACGAAGACCTATAAGAGAGAAAGGAAGAGAAGAATGAGAAGCCCATCGAATACAGAAAGAAAGGCGAAAAAAGAAAAACCGAAGACAAAATGAAAAATAGAAAGAAGAAACCCAAAGACAGGAACATTTTTGAAATTATTAGGTAAATATCAGCGACAATGGAAACAAACCGTAATCTCTGAATAAGAATAAAAATTCAAGATGCAATAGAAAAAGAACGTGTAGAAGTTGTTCGTCGTGAATCAGCCAAGAAATGGATATAGTTTCAGAAAAAAATTGAATAGTTGGAATGTGACTTGAGTTCAGGAAATGTTTCAGTTTCGCCTGCAATCGGTATCAGAGTTAAATCACTATCAAATGACGGTCATCACGGTTGCATTTGCAACTTAGAACAGGGATAACAGAAAGCTATCGAAAATTTCCAAGAATTTGAAATCAAAATCCGCCGTCTGTTAAATTTGGTTAACCCATGAGCAATAGCAGAATGCGGGAATAACTAGCGGCCGAAAAATTAGAGATATAGATGTGCAGAGAATCAATTCGCTGAGTCTTGATGGATTGACTATGAGCAGCATCCAATCCAAACCAAAGATTAAAGTTTAGTTTAAACAAAAAGAAAAAGAGCTAATAGCAGAAATTAAAGAGACAATAATTCAACTTCTGAGAGAAATACGAAAGATTTTACTAAAAGCACCCAAGGGAACTTGGAAAGGGGCACGGAATATTACCACTGCGAAGAAAAATACATTTTAAACGTAACTGTAGAGAAGCATCCGATTTGAAACCGATCAAGAATAGAACTCCGAACAGCGTAGAAATGATTTGACGTGAAATCATTTTTGAACCTAAAAGAAACCCGAAATAGGAATATATCCTTCAAACAGGCGTTCTACAGATTCCTAGGACGAGGAAGCGCAGACAAACCGGCTGGCAGTCAAAAAGAAATAGGTGGTCCATGGGACAATGCATACCCTCAGCTTGGTTAGACAGGCAGGCATCGTAGAGGGCATACATTTGACAGTCATAGAAATGTTAAGCATGTGGGTAATTGGGATGATAAAGATGATATGAGTATGACGAAAATTATAGATCTACAGAACATTATTCCTAAGGACTCTGAAATTGTTGGTAGTACGGAAATGGGGATGATATAAATCTAAGAGGAGGGGTATAGACGTAGAAGAAAATGTGGTGCATTTTGCAGGTTGTCATCTTACCCTGAGAATAAATGGCCAGATCGGGACGATCTGCTTGGGGATATATACATCGCTGTGGGAATATTCAGAAATTCCTCCCCATTCTGCATTGACCAAACCAGAATTCATGAGAATTAGAGATTACTCAGTTGATTGGTTCCGAAGGTATATAGAACACGTAGTTCGTAAGTTGCAGTCAGTTTTAATAATAATTGTATAATTTTAAGTGAAAGCGATAAGCGATTGATTGGTGATTATTATTGTAAAGTCAATTATTTCAAAGAGAACCGTGAAATTCGTGACAATGCTTTCGTTGCACACAGCGATAGATATATCCATCCTCCGAAAAGATATTAATATATTAACTTCTTGTTACTATTTATATTATTTGGCATCAAAAAATTCTAAATGTAGTTGAATAGATTACGTCAGTGTCATATTATGTGGCAGTAAAAAACTTTTTTGTTTCCCGAAAATACGAAAGGTTCACGGTTCATGAAATTTCAAACCATCAACGACCATACGAATAATTTCAAATGCATGGCTAGTTTTAGACTTTCAGTTCAGGATTACCTACGTGTGGTTTGAAATTTCCTGAACCTTTTAGTATTTATGAGAAATAAATAATATTCATTTATTATGACTTTTTCGACACGCAATGTTTTCTTCTAATGAAACTTCGTGAAAATGTATCGAAGTCTTTTTATTTATGCATCAGATTGGGCTAGCAATATTAGCAGCAATCAAATTTCACGCATTTCTCCCTATCGATATCGTTTAATTTTTTTTAAAAATAATTATCTTCTTTCAAAACTGTAACCATTGCCCACGAACGGTTTAATAAAATAAGACTGGCCCAACATTTTTTTATATAATTATTTAATAAAAAGACACTCACCTTTAAATGACTCCTTCTTGAGCTCTACCATAAGGTTATTAGCAACTTGTAACCGTCTCATTTTAATATCTGGCGGGAATGGTCCAATGTCAGCTATTAAATTATCATTCAAGTCCAAAACATAAACATTTGGACTAAGTTCCTCATAAGGTATTTCTGACAAATTGCTACTGGAACAATCCGTCACCCAGTTGATACGGAAATAATGACATTCGCACTCATCTGGACATTCTTGTTCGGCTAATTCTCCGTTGAAAGTATGGCCGGCCGGTGGTAAACAAACGAATAAACATATTGACAGAAATATTAGTATCAGATTCATTTTCCTGAAAAAAAATAAAATAAAAAGGAATCAATATACCAGAAGTTTCAAAAAAATGCTGTGTGCTGTGTGTGTTTAACATATCTGTTTTATTAATAATTTATCAGTGAAAGGTTACCGGAGATGTCCGAATTTACAAAGTTCCAACAAAATTTTCCTCCTCAGAATAGGTAGGTACTTGCATGAAAAATTAAATTGATTTTTGTTTATTGCAAACTGTAGGAAATCGAAAAAAAATTGGTGCCTGTTTTTCATTTTGTCCTAATACGATTATTCCGCAAGTTACAAATATTAAGTTTTGAATATATAGATAGACTGAGCATGTGCGACGTCATAACGCATTAAATGTTATGACGTCATAAGCACATTTCAAAGCGTTGTACTTCCATCAACTTTTGACTAACAAGAACAAGAAACAATGTGTGACTTATTTTTCATTGACTAACGAAATCAGCAATAAAAAAAACTGATGCAAGGGGCCTATTGAATAGAGATAAGAAACCAATGTAGGTTTTCTTTTTGAGAACACCGTTTATAACGAGAGATAATAATTTTGAGCAAACTGTTACACAAAAAAATTTCTAGCATTATGCCAGGTGATCTCCTCCCAAATAGCATAGACATGTCTCTGTTACTACGTATTAACCAAATACAACGTCACCAGAAGTGCAGATAAGTGACCGTCAATGATTTTTCGTTAAAATTATGTCGTGCCGTCGTCTTTAATATGTGGTCACGAAATCGGACCTTTATCTAGCTTAATTTTGACGTAATAAATTAAAACCAGTTTTTACGTTGAATTGATGACGTCAATCCGTCGTCCTCTTGTTTACTTGTGACCTCTGAAACGTTTTCCAAACGTCGTCTAATACGACCAATCATAAGGTAAGATAAAAATCGCAAATTGGACGTCATAATATTGTACCAAATTCAACGTTGCATTGAAGACGTCAATCCGTCGTTATCTTTATATTATCTTGTGACCTCTGGAACATTTTAAACACGACCAATCATGAGGTCAGATAGAAGTCCTAGAAAAACGTCCGGCCAACGTTAAAATTTTACACAGGTAAAATGTGGTGTAGTATTTCATACTTTTTGCGAAGTTCGTTAATAAACTGTCATCAGTCAAATAAAAACATACAAACAATAGATATGACATTACTATAAAAAGTTTTCAAGAATTTAAATAAGTTTTTGCTTTTGTATTTTTGATATGGGACGAAACAGGAGCTTCAAATACTCATCCACATATTACAAAAGAAGAAATAGATTTTTAGATAAAGTGAAAAGGGAGACATGGTATTCCAAACATGGAGGAAATGGAGCAAGAAGGGAAATTTTTCAATATTTTGAACAACATCAAAAATAAAACATCTACAGTTTCCTGTAAAGTTTCAAATAAATGAGAGCGTTGAAGCAACTAAAGAACTGGTTACAAAAGGTAACCATATGGGACCTATAGTCAATCTAGGTTTATGTTTGTACTATTTTATAACCTATGGTCCTATGTTTGTATGATGAAAACACGCGTAAGGTTAGGATAAGGTGCAGATTATTAACTCGATGATATACCTCCGATAAAATCGACAAAAGACGCATATTTGAGTCTTCAGTATAAATTTTATTTTTTCGTAGTTGGGCCATTTTTAAAACAATCACTCTGTAGCAATCACGGTGAAGCTGCTATGATACTTACTTCGCTAGTAACGGAGAAAATAATTCAGTTGTTGTTAAAATCGAAGTATCGACCAGTAAAAATAGATACTTTCAGCTGTAGTACAGTGGGAATTATTGCAATTGGCACATACCCTTTCAACATCCCTCGTTTTGAGTCAAAATTCTAATCTATTCAGTGCAGCGGTGTACGTAATATTTTATTATCATTATTTTAATCAACAATATACAATATAACAGTACGTCATTACCAGGCAGAAGCGTAGCATGTAACATACCAAATCAATATAAGAGATCAAGAACCAAACTTAATACTAAATTGCTCAGCATACCTATATAAATATTTTCTTCCTTCAACAGTTATTAGAACTATTATGTTCGCCACTGATTTATCAATTTGACACGATTATGACATTACCTGTGTGACAAAGAAGTTAAGTTTTGACACATTACGGCAGATTTTTATCAAGTGTGTGCCAATTGCAATGCTATTATTTTATCAACTTTCGGAAAAACAGAACAGAGTACTTCAAAATGTAGTATCTACTTTGTATTTAAGTAAATACTCCGTAGAATATTCTAATACTTGTAGTAGTAGCGGTTACTTCGCTTTTATTCATACCACCCATTGTGTATTTTTGATATCTAAGTACTTACTTGGCTACTTATGCTATTTTATTGTTTTAAGTATATGTATTCGTATCGGTAAATATGAAAGTTCAGCCTTTCCCAAGGTAAATCCTCATAGTATAGGTACAGGTAGTCAAGGCTAAATCAACCTGCTTAAATATATAGATTTGAGAACAATATAGATATTGTTCTATGAACAGAAACAAAACAAATCAAATATATTTACCATAAACGCAGCAATTCATACAAATAACCAGTAAACAACTGTAAAATACCGCGTGCCAATAACAAAACACATTAAAATACTTATTAAACATTCACAGTGAAGTAAATAAAATACGCTTTTGGTGTCGATGTCTACTAACTAGTGCACTGCTGATCAGATTTTATAAATACGAAGGTTATTCCGGGCACTAGTAGGTACATCTTATTGGGAGACTTTTTTAAATAATTAACCTAAAAAAAAAATTAGAGTTATCTGTCTTCTTTCGTTTTATTAAAATTATATTTCGTACGCCCTGGCCAAGGCACCACCAGCATCATTGCCATGGCACTTAAATATTTTAAATAGATATTGTTTTAACACCGGTTAATTCAGAGGAAACATCGCGAGGTCAGCAAAATTACCAAGCGAAATACAATGGGACTAATGGGACTATGCTTTATTGTTTACATTCATGACTTGAAGCACGATTGTTTTATTTGTCTTATTTTGTGTACTAGGAAAAATTGCATTTTTAGTCGGGCTTTTGGATGGGATAACTATGTACTACTATCGGTGATGAAAATTACGTCTCCAATTTAGACAAAAGCCCGGTAGTACGTGCTTTCAGTGAGTCAGTGTGAATGTGAGCATTCTTGTATAATTTCAAGTAAAAGCGATAAGTGAAAAGCGAGAATTCAATGCGTAATTTTTAATGAACAAACTCGAGAAAATCTTGGGAGGGCAAGATCATAAATCCAAGAATGCAATGGAAGACGTACATGAGTTGGTGGGCAATGTTCCTCAGGAAGCTGGAACTGTTCGACAGGAAGTTGGACCTTTCGCCAAGAATTTGATAGATTTGAGATGAAAATTAAGAAGTTACAATCTAACGTGAGATCGGGAAATATCTCAGCTTCGCTTGCCACCAGTTTTCAAGTTAGGACACCACCATTTTGAACAAAACTATAATGCGCATATTGATGCGCTAGCGCGTCACGACGGCAGCTTTACCAGGTACAGCTAAGAACAAGACAACAGGGTCCTTATTCTTGAAACAGGAGAGTAACGTTCCCAGGAGAACGAGTGTTCTGTCTTTCTCAATGATATGGAAATGAGGTAACTAACAATGACGGAACACTGATTCTCCTGGGAACGCTGCTCCCCTATTTCAAGAATAGGGACCCTGGAAGCTGCGGAAAGTTTACAAGAATTTGGAACCCAGAGGATATTAGTTCTAGCTGATTTGGCCTACCTGGAAACATTGAAAACATTTAGCAATGAATTTAGAGTCATGGATGTACAGAGCTCATAACCAAATTATCAAGTAGCTGCGAAGCTCTAATCAAAACCCTAGAAATCAAATTGGTATATATGATATATACGACATCCGCAACCAAAAATTAATACAAAAAGAAGAAGAACCAATGAGAGAAATCATTAGGGACTTCTGGGAGAAATACGAGAGGCTGTTACCAGAAGCAAACAACGGAACTTGGAAGAGGACCCCGAATTTTACTGCTGGGAAAGAAGAAGACATTTCAAAAGTAACGTCAGTCCATGGGAAGAACAACCACGCAGGCGTTTAATTGACCCGCATAGAGAGATGTTAAACATGTCGCTCGATAATTACGCGTATGAAGGAGAACATAGATCTAGAAGACATTATTTCCAAAGACATGCTTCTAAAGATACTGAGAGGCATAGTACCTAAAGCTAGTAGTAGGGAGACGAAGAATAATACATGGAATCAATACGGATCTAAGTGTGGGTATAGACCTATAGAAGAGAAAGTGGTGCATCTTGGTGAGCGCTTTCTTTGTGCTATTCAAATGCACAAGGGAAAAGTCTCGAATTGCATTTTTTTTTTCTATATAATTGTTGTATGAACTTAAGTAAAAGCGATAAGTGACAGTAAATTTTGTAAAGTCAAATTAGTTTTGAAAAAGTTGTTATTGTTATTAGAGTGAGTTTTCAGTGGACCCGCGAAATTTGTGTCAATATGGTTTCATAAGACCTTGAATAGTTTCAAAAAGTGACTGTGTGGGCATAATATTTCAGTAGAATATATTACTTAGGACACATATATTATGTAGTATTTTTGGGGAAAATCTAGAAAATTAAATCTCCTGAATGATTTTTAATTTTAATAATAATTGATGATTAATATTTATTATATTTATCTTCAAGGCCCGTTTATTTGGGAAAAGTTATTTGAAAATTGTCATCATGTCATATGTTTACAAAATGTTCATCGAATAATAAATATGCTAAAAAGTCGCGTGTATCATTAACAACATAACACCCTGACATCGGCATGCCATATGCCATAAAATTTCAGCGGATCCAAAGCGTTTCAATTTCAAAAAAAAAATTGTGTATTATTCTGTACATGAACAAAAATAATATTGTCGCATCAATTTGGAACAACACCGAGTTTTTTTGGTACGTAGGGTCACAATTCAGCAACATATCGTAAGTGAACTGGGGTCGTATTTTCGAATATTCTCGCATACGAAATTTGATTTGCTTTCGAATACTCCCCATTTAATTTACATTGCTGTCAATCAAATTTCGTATACGAAATGTACTCGAATGAATTCGTAAAAAAGACCCCTAGGAAAACCTATGGCAACTTCGGGACTTTGTTTGAAAAAAGTGTTAAATGTATTGGAAATCACATAGATATATTTTCAACGCAATGAATATATATTTAAGATATGTTACGGTTAATATGCAAACTTGGCTAGTTTACAAACTATGGATAGTTTATAAACTAACTAACCCATTGGCTATTTTGATAGAAAACGCAATTTTTACTAAAATAGCAGCTTGTTTGCAAACTAACCAAGAGTCTTGGCTAATTTGCTTGAAATTATCGAGAAAACAAAATTAGCTGGTTAGTTTATAAACTATCCAATGCAACCTGGCTAATTTGAAAACATGCGTGATTTCTAGTAACACAAAATAGCCAAACCTTTGGTAAGTTTATAAACTAACCAAACCTTTGGCTAGTTCATCAACTTGTGTTAAAGATATTATGGATAGGTTGTCTTGGATAGTTTATAAACTAACCAGCTATTCTAGTTTTCTCGATAATTTCAAGTAAATTAGCCAAGACTCTTGGTTAGTTTGCATACTAGCTGCTATTTTAGTGGAAGTTGCGTTTTCTATCAAAATAGCTAAGGGGTTGGTTAGTTTGTAAACTATCCAGCTGTTTACAAACTATCCAATTTTGCATATTAGCCGGAACAGATACATGGGATGGAAACAAAGGACACCTCGTCAAATACAAAACACATTTTATGGATTTATTTTTTGGGCAATTTTTCATCAATCAATAAATCTAGTTCCAATAATCTAATGATTTTTATTTAAAAAACCCACATAAAGTTAAAGAGAAAATCAGCACAGGACAATCTATCTCTAAAAAAATATCTGACTTCTGCCATTCTGCCCCCCCCCCTCAAAAAAATAAAAATAAACATAGGTTATACAACAGGACAGTTTCCCTTGTTACTGGCTTATTCTAGTTTTCATTGTCAATTGTCTAAATTATTTAAAATAACATCTCAGATGTTGTCTATATTAAATAAGATACAAGACAGGATACAGGATGTTTGAGTTACGACCTACTTAATGTATTTACTTCACATATTTTCTATGATGTTTTATAAATCCAAAGTGCATTCATCCAATAAGTTGAGGCAAAACAAAGTTTTTTACGGCGTGTCATCACGCGGTAAAAATTGTTTAGCGCAGCTTGAAAATCTAATGAAGCTTGTTTATTAATTTACACTTTCATGAGTCAGCAAACGGTTTATTTTAGTTTCTTACCTGGTTGGTAAATATGGCCTAATTAATGTAGCAACCTTGCGATTTTGTTTTAATTTTTTTGTATTGCTAATATCCATAAAATAAGCTGAGGACGATAAAATTGAGGAAGTTTTCACATACAAGTCGAAAAATTCCATCAACTAAGGGTATAGTATCCACAAATTTTTACTGTACGTACACAGCAGTACTACCACTACCTGATATAAAATGAAAAACAAATTAATTCAATTCAATTAATTGATAGGTACTTATTATATTCATTATTGCGGTTAATTTTTTATTGGGAAAACATTATACTTTAAATTTGTTTGGACTAAAATAGGCTGTGGAAAATATTATTTGAGAACCTCTTGAATACTTATCGCTTGTAGGTACGAGAAATATTCAAGGATCAATTTTCGAATTCTTGGAATGCAATATTATGGTTCTATGGTGTACCATGGTTAACTATCAAAATTACTGCCAGTCAGCCAGTTAACGCAAAAAAAAATACAGAAAAAATATCACCCTTGTTCAGAAATAACTATAGCTGTCATAGGGTATTAAATAATTTCCAGGTTAAAATATAAAGTTTTTAATTGTTAAGTATTTTTCTATACAGGGTGACATTTTAAAAACTCACAATGGCTATATCTCAGCAACCAAAAAAAATATAAAAAATCGCTGAAAACAATTTCTATAGTAGGGAGGGGGAAACAAAATTAGGTAATAGCTAACTTGTTTTCACTCACATCCTCACCCCCAGCTACCCGAACTTAGTAATCTTAAATGACACCCCCCTACTAGTGATACTTTATCTGAAAGCTCATAAAAAACGCTTTTCAATGGTACCCTGCAAAACACCTGAAAAAAATCACATGTCTAAAAAAATACAATTTTAATTGTCATTATTTTCAGGTGTTTTGGAGGGTACCATTGAAAAGCGTTTTTTATGAGCTTTCAGATAAGTTGGTTATTACATAATTTTGTTTCCTCCTCCCTACTATAGAAATTGTTTTCAGCGATTTTTTATATATTTTCTGGTTCCTGAGATATAGCCATTGTAAGTTTTTAAAATGTCACCCTGTATATCTGATAATGAATCATCAAATCAAGCAAATAATAATCGGCGGTTTGGATCATCGTCAAACTCTTATTTTCGGAGATTAGCCATAATTGTCGGATGACAGCTCAAACGTAACTAAGGGCCATATTCTCCGTAGTTCATAAAGCCTGGCTTAGTGGTAACGCTTGGCTTTTTGTGTGACAAAGCCGAGCTTTTCTACTAAGCCAGGCTTTATGAACTACAGAGAATATGGCCTTAAGCCATCTATTTAGGTTTGACAAAAAAAAAATCCAAAATATCTACTTTGATTTACTTATAAGAAACAGCAACTCAAGTTGACAGGAGCAGGTGAAGTTCAATCATTAGGTATGTATTAATCTAGTTGAATTCTGAGGAGCAGTAAGTGTTGAAAAAAAGGCAATTGTGTAGATTGTAGCAAGCGCCTACTGAAAGTGTTTTCCTTTATTGAAAATATATGCAAAAGATAAAAGTTAGATTTGAATGAATTTTTTGGGAATTCCCTGTTTTGCCTCCCTATCTGTTTTGCCGTTGGTTGTACAAAATCGTCTTGAAATTGAAGCTTGTGCTCATGAGATTTGAAAAAGGTATATTTTTAATCTCACGAGCACAAGAAAAACAAATAAAAAATATCTAGCGGAAAATGTGATTTCCAAGTTATTCAGTTTATGTGTAGGCATATGTAAATACTTCATAAAACTTTCATGGAGAATAGCAATTTCCCTCTAAATCAAATAATTCTAAAAACACGGGGAGACACCCTGTTTATTGCTCGAATGATTAACGCCTAGTAGGTAGTAAAACTGGTGCTAAGCACAACCTGGTACCTACAATATTTGCAATATCTCTAAATCTAGTTTAAAGTTGATATTAATCTTACCTGAAAAACACTTTAAAGGCACTAGTTCAAGTAAACAATTGAACGACACATCCCAAATCACAAAAATTAACATCCAAAAAGTTCCGTGATTCGTTAATACAGAAAACACAATACCTATAACAAAAACTGCAATGTAATTTTTTTTAGCTCCGCCAGGTCGATCGCTAACACGCTTATTTAGCACGGAATGGTCGTCATAATGTAATCTATTCATTTATTTACCAAATTACACACTCTTGTTAAACCGAGCCAAGCTGGTGACGTCACCTCAAATTACCGACTCAGAAATTAGGAAGTGATCTTGTGACACAAGAAGTAGGTAGGTATGAGTCCGCTGGCTAATTTACAACAATGTTTATTTTCTGTTTGAAAGAATTGATGAACAAATGATACAAAATGTATAAAACTTAACAATTTTAATTCAATAATTATACCAATTTGTTTTTTTTTTTTAATTTAAATTGATGTACCTACCTAAGTAGAGGTATAGTATGACAAATAATATCAGATATAGGTAATTATCGTGGGTATTCTGTAGTGACTACTTATTTTATTTATTATAAGTCACAATTTGGATAGATTAACTAAGAATTAATAATATTCAGTTTCTTTTTATAGCTTGGTTACCTACTAGTGGTCTGTTAAATAAGACATTCAGTTTTTGATGAAAAACAATTTTCGGGATCATTTTTTTTTTTCCATATTTCGCTATATTGTGTAGTGTGTAATTTAATCTGCTATTTCGAATTGTTTGAATCTTCTATCAGATTTCCAACCAGCCAGCAGGCTATAATAGAAGAGTCGTCGTGCTGTTTCCTTATGTGGTTTTATCCTTCTCAACCGAGTTCGCCTGTACTTTGTGAATTGTGAAAAAAATATACAAACAGAACAATATACTTGACACCTTCCATATCCGACATATCTAAACTGACATAGCATCATCAGAATCTGTATCTGATGGCAGTGGCGTAGCCAGGATTTTGTCTTGGGGGGGGCAAATTTGCAGGAAGCGTCTCTCGCGAAGCGCCGCAGGCGCGAAATTTTTGAGTGCCACGCCCCTTTTTCAGGTTTCTTTACGCTATTTTTGGGACTGTTTATCTTAATTTTGAAGAAATATTCATAAAATTTAAGGGTCTTGGGGGGGGGCAAATGCCCCCTTGCCCCCCCCCTGGCTACGCCAGTGTCTGATGGTAGAGAATAACATATTTTCGCCAGTTTTGAGTCACATAAGATTTTGCTTACGCAAATAGATTTTTAAGATCATCTAATTTGTGGGTCACATATTGTTTCTCACTTGAGTCCAAATAAAGTTATACCACGAGCTCTGGCAATATCGGCAATTGTATCTACTTATTTGTTTATAAAAGCTTTCAGATTTGACCAATCCTATTAACTCGCGATTAGTCATCCTCGAATAATATTTCGCTGAGTTAACCAAGACTGTATATCACATTTGAGACATCCCAAATGAAAATTAATGAGCCTGACTTAAACACATAGACATCTAAGTCCGGCTTCTTAGAAAAGTATGGTAACATGAGGGAAATATTCGATATAATTTGCAAAGTAAATTTTTTGTTTCCAGTGTATTCAAATGCCGATACCTGATTTTTTCCTGGAAATTTCACCCATTTGAAAGCTAACCTACCTAGGCTCCGCCAAGTTAGCCCCCCCACACTCGAATTTTCTAAAAAAATTGCAACCACTTACTGTGCTCGAAGTGTGCTTTACTGTGCTGATGATATTTTGAACTGTACCGTTTCGATAACAGAGTTATAGGAAAAAATAGATGGGGGCTAACTTGACGCTCTGCCCCCCCAAAATTTTGGAAATCAGATGAAACCAAAAAGGATTTTTATCCAATTTGAAGTGTGCTGAACTGTGCTGTATCAGGTTTTTCTCAAAGTTTTCATATTCGGTCATTTTCCGACAAAATCCTACTGGGGGGCTAACTTGACGCTCAGCCCCCCCAAAATTTTGGAAATCAGATTAAACAAAATTGAATTCTTATCCAATCTGAAGTGTGCTGAACTGTGCTGTATTAGGTTTTTCTCAAAATTCCCATATTTGGTCATTTTCCGACAAAATCCTACTGGGCGGCTAACTTGACGCTCAGCCCCCCCAAAATTTTGGAAATCAGATTAAAGAAAATTAAGTTCTTTTCCAATCTGAAGTGTACTGAACTCTGCTGTATCAGGTTTTCTCAAAATTTACATACTTATTCGGTTATTTTCCGACATAATCCTACTAGCTAACTTGGCGCTCAGCTCTGAAAATTTACATACATTTCTATTAATTAAATTTTGTTAGAAAGATTTTTACAGGTAATGACCAACGTGAATACAGGGACACTTCGGTCCCTGTTTGGGAATCGGCCCACTGAGCAGTGGACTCAGGCTTCCCGTGCCAATCCTTGACGCGTTTCGTCCTTGTTAGGACTCATCAGAAGGACATAGGCTGAAGCTCCCTGTCCAAGCAAAATTGAACTTCGTTGACCAGTCAGAAACAACTACTCCGAGGGCAAATACCCCTACCGGCGTTGAACTACACTGATTGGTCTGAGCTTTCGTTGGCAATAGAAATTGTTAGAAAGATGTTTACAGGTAATGACCAACGTGAATACAGGGACACTTCGGTCCCTGTTTGGGAATCGGCCCACTGAGCAGTGGACTCAGGCTTCCCGTGCCAATCCTTGACGCGTTTCGTCCTTGTTAGGACTCATCAGAAGGACATAGGCTGAAGCTCCCTGTCCAAGCAAAATTGAACTTCAGTGGGCCGATTCCCAAACAGGGACCGAAGTGTCCCTGTATTCACGTTGGTCATTACCTGTAAAAATCTTTCTAACAATTTCTATTGCCAACGAAAGCTCAGACCAATCAGTGTAGTTCAACGCCGGTAGGGGTATTTGCCCTCGGAGTAGTTGTTTCTGACTGGTCAACGAAGTTCAATATGTTCAAAGTTTGATGTACAATAGGTTCCAATACTAAGAAATGCCCAGAACCCAAGATATTCCCGTCTGAAAATCACTCTTTTGAATCCCCCATAAGAAATACATTGCTGTCAAATTTGTTGAAATGTGTTTAGGAACCCATTTTAAATTTCGCGCCCGATTTTTCTTAACCTAACTAATATGGTCAATTACATTTAATTTTCGTGAGGTGGCAACGCTGAACCTGATTTGTTATTTTCAATGCAAACCGAGAATTTTTGAAGTATTATTTTGTGAAGATGCCTTCGTTTTGTGGCGTTTTTGGGTGCTCCAATAGAGCTGAAAGGGATAAAGTGGAAAAAGGATTCCAGCAGCATTTAAAGATCAAGGGGATCGCATAAACGAGCTATCAAAAAAACAAGGGAGTATGTGAATTAGATGCCTCAAAAGGGTAGATTTGACTGTAACGTTGTTAAAAATGCTCGAATTTTTTCGAATCATTTTGTTAATGGTAAGTTTTATGACTGTCTTGTTGTTAAAATACAAAAACACTTCATCTCGGTATATCAAAAAAGTTGTTTATGTTTGTGCAAGTAGGTAACTTTTAATACCTTTTAGGTAGTCCAGCAGAATTTAAGGATACAAACAATCCGGATTGGGTCCCCAGTACAAATTTAGGATATACTGTACGATAATAGATAAAAGCCCAGAATGAACAAGCCAGTAAGCTAAGCTACATGCCAGATCTGTGCACCGATCAGAACAGTCAAAACGTTTAAGGAGTCATTCTACCACAAATTTATTTTGCTAAAGTTTATTTGTAAGGTTGTTAGTATCAAACTTTTTTATTTTTTAAACAATTTAGATTCTTAAGCATTATTTTTGTTAATAAATTGTTTGTTTCCTATTGTTGAGTTGAAATGTAAAGTGGCATGTCTGTAAATAAAGATTCATTCATTCATTCCATTCATTCATAAAAACTAAAAACAACTTAAAACTTATTGAGCAAATCAAAAAACGCAAAAATTCAGAAGCACAAACTCAAAAAACACTGTAAACAATAATGATCTATAAGGCCTGTTCGCACAGCAATCACAAACCAGTCAGAGTGAATTTCATTGGTTGGAAACAGTCAGAAACAGTCAGAAAACTAGTTTCAACCAATGAAATTCGCTCTGACTGGTTGGTGATTTCTGTGCGAACAGGCCTATAGGCTTTATTTGTCCCTCAGCAAATATGGCGGACCTTGTCAAAGTCACGTGACCTGGAATGCCTAAACGTTCAACCAATGACATCGTTCAACTTATAAATAAAAAAGGTTAATTATTTATAAGTTTTTCTTAGGGGTTAGATCAGAAAGTCTTTTCTTGTAATTCGTACTGAGTAACTTGCGCCTTCGCCAAAAGGCATGTCTTTTGTATTGAGGTATTTGAGATATACTTGGGGACCATTTTATGCCATTTTTATGCGGCAAGCACCCATTTTTTTTCTATTAGTTAATTATATATTTTAATCTCACTGCCATAGATAAATAGCAGTTGCATCATATTTCTTTTTCTGAATTTCCGATACAGAGTGAGTTTCAAGTATGGAACGTCTCAATTACCTCGAAGACGGCTTGCACGATTTTTATGAATTTTGGTTTTAAAGAGTATTGTAATATGGCCGATAATATAGTAGTATTTACATGGTTGACAGATCTTTCGTTTTTCGGGAAATATCAGAAACTTTTTTTCTTTCAAATGGATCACCCTATATATGGCTTCTTTTTGGTGGCGTACTGCCAACCTTTGGAACTTCCTGTTTCCTACTTCATTTCCTGAACGGTTTAATCTTAACGTGTTCAAACGGAGGGTTAATCGTCACTTAATTTCTTCCGCTCGTGGCACCGCTCAGGTAATGGACTAATGTAAAAAGAAAAAAAGGTAGGTACTGTGGGTTTAAAATATAAACCGAACAAACAAAACAAGAATATACACCATCGTTAAAAGAATAGTTACTTATAGTTCAGAGGTCTGGCCACTAAAGGACAGAACATCCAAAAAGGCTGGAAGCAGCCGAGACTTTTGGACGAGAGCGACAGGCATGTCAAAAATGGAAAGGATAACAAATCACAGCGTTAGAGAAATGAAGAACGTACGAGAATACCAAAGCAAATCAATGGGTGAAAGCCAGGGGAAAGGTGTAAGAAAAGAATACGCAGCAGACCGGGAAGAAGCTGGAGAAGTCGTGTGCACGAGAAAAACCACA